ACCATTGCTAGATCTCCCAACTCCCTTCTGCACCTCCAGTTTTAATGCCATTGGGTATAAAAAGGAGATGCAGTTTCCAACTTTTTATCATGAGTATCAGTTTTTATCATGAGACACATGATATCTGGTATTTTTCTTAAAACTTTGGGCACTGAAGTCATATGGAAACACTAGAATTTCTGCTTTCATTAAAAAAAATGTTTCTAGCCCTCAAAGTTGCAGAGATAAGCTTGGAAACATGAACCCTAAAAGTTGAAAAGCCATCATGCAAATAAAAAGAACTCCAAATTTATTATTTGTAAACCTTACGAATTTTAAGTTAATCTCAGGAGTTTTTGGGGCCTCGTTCATGATATTCAAATGTTAGGGGTTGCTGGTACTGGAAATGAAATGCACAAAGTTATGTGGTATGTATCGTACATTAGTGACACAGATGAACCAAAGCAAGGACATAGAATCAGAGAATCATAGACTTTAAGATCAGAAGGGATCATTATGATCATCTAATCTGACCTCCTGCACAACGCAGGCCAAAGAATCTCACCCACCCACCCTTGTAACAAACCCCTAACTTATGTCTGAGCTACTGAAGTCCTCAAATCGTGGTTTAAAGACTTCAAGGTGCAGAGAATCCTCCAGCAAGTGACCCATGCCCCACGCTGCAAAGGAAGGCAAAAAACTCCCAGGGCCTCTGCCAGTGTGCCCTGGAGGAAAATTCCTTCCCAATCTCAAATATGGCAATCAGCTAAACCCTGAGCATGTGGGCAAGACTCATCAGCCAGACACCCAGGAAAAAACTGCGACATTTTAAGTTGCCCTGAACTTGCTTCCTTAGGCCTAGAGCATGAAGGACATGAGTATCTCCCAGCACTGGAACTAGCCTTCCCTATCAGGCACTGCAGGCCTACAACCAACCATAAGCGATTCTTTTGCTTCCTCTGATCTGCCAGCCCCACCTGCCTGGTGTCACGCTGCTAGTTGGCTCCATGCCAGTTTTCCCATGTGTGTGCCTCAGCTCCTGATCTGACCACCTTACTCCTTAGTTGCAGCCTGACAAAGGAGTCAAGAACAGGTAAGGGGGGAGATGAGGCAGGAATACAGAGAGGGAGAAGACGATGGGAGAGGTAACTGGTAGGGGAGACAGGGTAAATCAGGACTGCATATTCTGCATACTTCAGAAAAGCCCCAGGCAGACAGACTTACTGTCCTAAAAGTTGTGATTTGTTCGACCTCCCAGCAGCCTGAGATCCCCTCTCCCTTTCCTGCATTGTCCACTTCCAAACAGTAAGAAACTAGCTAGTCCAAAGAGTTAAAAACCTGAGACCAAATACATCCCCAGTAAAGTCAATGGAGTTACACCAGGGAGGAACGTGGGCCCTAGGGATTAGCTAGTATCCTAAAGATTAGTATAATCTTTGGAGCCACTATATTTTATATGCCTGAGGTCATTGAATGATGCAGCACGTACCATAATATGTCACAGTACGTGTGCACAGTGGACAGTTTAACAATGGCATGCCCCCCAATGTGAATTTCCTGAGTTGTATTTGTACGTTTCACAGGTCTTCAGATAACGCATAGAGGTATGTGTGTGCTGTGTGTGTGTGTGGGGGAGGTACGCTGAGTGAGGGAAATGATCCAAGGGGTAAACATCTCGCATTAAAATAAATGCTTCATCTTCCTTTCAGAGTTTATTTTTAACAAAATATCTTTGGCTGCACCCCAGCATTGTTGCACTGGTTGGAGATGGTTATCGTATCAGGAAGTTCCCCCCCCGAACATATTCACATAGTTAGCCCTGCTCTCTCCCTTGTGAGCTGGCTTCAAGCAGGCTTTTGTTCCACTCCATGCACAGACTACAATAAAATGTTATTGTGATATATCAGTAGCTTACTGGGAAGTGAGACAACTGATTATGTGATTTATTTATTGTAATTAAGTAATGGAGAAAGAACCTATAAGCCTAAACTTGTTTGAATCCATATTCATAATCGAAGCATTCAATTCATGCCCCAGAATCATTTGTCAATCTGGCCTTTTTTTTATGTTGCCTAGAGACTCTCTTATTTCTTTTGCTATTAAGTTACCTGAAACCGACACTAAGCTCTGGATCTCCTCCAAGCTGTAATAAAAGGAAATGTACTCCAGGCAGTAGGGCCAGCCATTACTTTACCTACAGTCTTAATAAAGGCCGTCTTTAGATCAGGTTGGACTTGTAAAAGCAGCAGGTTATTCATTGTTTAAACAAAGCTACAACTTTTTTGTTTGTGGAGTTTTTAAATTTATGGCAGTGTTCTCACTGACTTTTTTTTTGTGGCTGTTTTGTTTACTGAGTTTGCCTAAGCACCTCAAGTGCTTTCAAAGGCAGACTGTGAAAGAAGAAATCAAGCTGTGTTCAAAGCTTCAGAGCTGTGAAACCAAAATGTACTGGATGGGAATGAGCCATTCACTTTTATTTGGGGAAAAATACCAGAGAAAACATTTGCACTTTGAAATATTTGAGTTCCGGAGTGGGTATGAACTTTTCCTTCGTTTGAGTTTAAAAAGGGGAAATAACAATTAACTAGCACTCTCCACATCTTTGAAGTGCTGTATAATCATTAACTAATTAATTTGCGATTGGGTTCTCCCTCCAGCAGTTCTGTGGGAGAAGAAGGTTTCAACTTTTTTCATTACATGGAGGCTGTTTCCAAGGCCTTAACCACCTTCTTAGGAACATAGGAATTGTCATACCAGACCAGACCAATGGTGCATCTAGTAAAGTATCCTGCCTCCAACCAATGTTTCAGTTACATGGAGTAACATTCCCATTGGGGAAGTTTCTTACTAACCCCAAGAATGTACTTAGATTGTAAGATCCTTGAGGTAGGAACTCCCTTTTTGTTCTGTGTTTGTACAGGACCTAGCACAATTGGACTGTGGTCCATGACTAGGACTTGTAGGCATTACGTCAATACAAATAATAAATAATGATTAATCGTTGGCTTATTCCTTTCCAGTTACTGAAGGCCACCAGTAGTCACTCAGTGCTAGAAGTGTTCACTTCTTCTGTTGCTAGATTTACCAGTGCAGTTTAATCTGCTCCGTCACAGTAAAATAAACCTGATGGATTCCTGAAAAAAAGAATATCCAGGCCAGGCTAAAACATCAGTTTGTACTTATTAACTACTGGTGGCTTTTGGGTGGAGGAATTGTGATTCTCAGTGGAAGAGTGGGTGGTCTAGTACATGATTGGGTTGTTAATTACTTGTCTTTTGGAATTGTGATGAAATAAAACGTATGTTGGACAGTCTTCCAACATTCTTGTTTTACAGTTCTTTAAGGTCTTTCACTTACTCCTCACATTCCTGACACTAATTATTTTACTTACACACTCAATTCCTTTTATGCTGATATTTTCTAATTTAATTTATTAGGGTTACAATCTTAGCAAACTTCCTTATTTTCAGGTTTCAGAGTAGCAGCCGTGTTAGTCTGTATTTGCAAAAAGAAAAGGAGTACGCCACAAGTACTCCTTTTCTTTTTCGTTATTTTCGCTCTTCTTTATTGTACTGATGAACCTATTAATGTATGATTTCACTTTGAACCTTCTTTTAAAACACATATCCCAGTGCCTTCCTTAGGAGCAGCAGCTGCTCCCATTTTTTCTGTCGTGTTCTCATTTTAAAGTCTGTCAAATGATAATCCAGTTGGGTGCAATTAAAACTGAACAACGTTCCTCTCTTGTCATTTTAATGTAGACTTTTATTACCCACTTACTGGGAAAAGCTATTTTCCTAATTAAAAAAAATCTTATTTTAAAGTCAGCTCTTACTTTCCTTTTCTCCTATCCCCGGAAACTGTACATCATTTCTGCATCTTCCTAATTAAAACTTTCCTGTTCCGTGTAGCCATCAAGGGACCTGACCCCAGTTGAACTGTGGATTGGCTTCTGATAGATACTGTGTTAAACACTGATTATATGGGTTAGGGATTAGTAAGGTAGTAAAATAAGTGATATCTGAAAGACTGAGACATTTGTTCCTAGTTTATAGGCAGTAAGGGATTGGCTATCACATATGTTAACTCGAGTTACTTGTCGTGACTAGGGTTGCCACCCATCCGATTTTCAATCAGGCCGTTCAGATTTCTGCTTGTGTGTCCGGGTGCCATTGGACAAGCCACAATGTCCATTTTTTTAATCTGTGGCAACCCTAAGCAGAAGGAAGGAGACAGTGTAGCAGCAGCAGCCATCCCTGCCTCCAGGACCAGGCTGCTTGTGTGGCTCGTGGTGGCACATGGCATGCAGGGGTGGGGCCTTGGGGGAAGAGGTGGAGAAGGAATGAGGCCTCAAGGGAAGAGGCAGGGCAGGGACAGGGCCTCAGGGGTCTAGTTACAGTCATTAGAAAGGTGGCAACACTAGATGTGACATATCTGTCATTCTTTCAAAGGGGAGCTGCTGACATAAACATCAGTCTTCTAGTGCTTATTTCTTTTGCAAGACTTTACCACTGTCTTTATAATGATTTATAGCACATTTGCCATACTGTGTGTTTTTGGAAGGGTGTTTAAGGGGATGTGTTAGTAGTGGAATTGAAAGTCCTCAATGGTTGTCCAGTGGAAAAGACAGAAGCAAAAAACTGATTAAGTTCTACTGTAGAATTGTAATGCAGAGCTGGATCAGAGTTTGCAAGAAGCAAAAAAAAAAAAAAAAAAGTTTATTGTAGACTTATATTATTGCAACAAGGTGTTGTCTCAAGGCTGGTGCCAATAAATCCAAATGAAGCAGAAAGCAGGAGAGGAAGTAGGCAGTTGCAACACACACACACACAATAAGGGAAGTCCTGTTATAAAATGAACATGTAAAGGTTTATAGTAGTTTGCAGCTTTAAACAGTAGGCTTCCCAGACAGAGGTGTGGACAGACCAATATGAAGAAAAGAAATGCCGGGCGTAAGTTTTAATGAACACTATGTATTAACCAGTGATCTACAAAAATCAGTATTTTCTCTTCATTCACAGCATGGCCGTACCCCTCTACATCTTGCTGCCTATAAGGGGCATCTCCGTGTTGTGCAGATTTTGCTGAAGGCAGGCTGTGACCTGGACATTCAGGATGATGTAAGTAGATGCAACCACTGTTCTACCAAGGGGCCTGCTCTTCCAATCAATGATTCAAATTCTGAACAGAGCTAGAGTTTTGCTTCTTAAAGGTGGGGATGAAATTAGAACAGAATCAGTCTCCCACCTATTCTAACTTTGAAGCATAACAAGTAAAACTGTATCAGAGTCATAGTAAAATTTAGAGTTTTAGATGAGTAGCTTGGTCCTTACTTTCAAGCTGTAGCAGAGCATTAAAAGATGCCTTTCTACTCCAGGCCTGAGTGAGTAGCAATAGAGGATGTTGCCTGCCATTTGGTACATACATGGAAATATGAGCTCATTTGTGTCACACGGGAGTCCCATTGAAACACTTTACGTGATATAATCTGCCAGAAATATTTGCAACAGAGAGGACTTCAAAAGGCAGAAGCTCTTCTCCAGAGAGCATAGGAAAATGAGCAATTGGCTTGAAGTACTGTACAGTACCACAGCAAATTGGCTACCAGTGTAATGCTTGCGGTATGAGTTATTCCCTGTGTCTCATAACCTGGGATGATAAATGAATAGTGTAAGTTATTTGTGATCATCCTTACAATTAGCAAATGATAGTTTTCAAAAAGTAAATCATTGGTATTTCTCAGTTTTTCTATAAAAACAGTGATAATGCTAGAGATGAATGCTAGAGAAAACGTTGCTTAGATGATGAGACATTGGAATTATTTGCATTATCAATTTGCATTATCTAACAAACAAGGAGTTAGGCTGAATTGTTTTTAACAGATTGAAATAAATTTGTCCAGATTCATTGTTGACTCCCGTTCACAGACTGTAATTTTGCCTCTAATTTCTTCTGTGGTGCTCCAACTCAGGATTGGAGTAATGACCCTGCTCCCAGGAGTCTTAACATTGTTACTTGTGTCTCTGACCCAAGAGGTCTATTCTACAAATGCTGCAGCACTTTGATGAAGATGCTCTAAGCTGATGGGAGAGAGCTTTCCTATCAGTTTAGTTACTCCACCTCTATGAGAGGCAGTAGCTACATCGGTGAGGGAATCTCTCCCACTGACATAGTGCTATCTACAGGGTGCGGGGGAGGGCGGAATTTAATGTCAGCGTAACCATATTGCTCGGGGTGTGGATTTTTCATACCCCTGATCAATGTGGTTATACTGAAGTAAGTGTGTAGTGTAGACCTGACCTGAGTGATGTCCGCATAGTTGCACTATTTAGGTCACTATTTAGTGGTCAGCAAGGCCATGTGCTATGGTGCTTAGAATTCAGGACTAGGCATTAAGGGCCAGATATTTAAAGGTGTTAGGTGCCTGAATATGCAGATAGGTACCTAGTGTGATTTTTTTCAAAAGCACCTAGGTGCCTCTAATTCCCATTGGGTGCTTTTGAAACTCCCGCTACGCACCTATTTGAATCTTTAGGTGCCTAAATATCTTCAAAAATCTCACTATTAAACAGCTGGGTTCTATTTCCAGCTGTCACTTGACAGTGAAACTTAGGATAGTCTCTGGTAGGCTTGTAACCTTGATTTTTCTGCAACCGCTCTTGTACTAAGGGAGTTGCTCTTGAGTCAGTAATTCCATTTCCTAACCTCTCATTGCTACAGTTTGCATCTCTGTAAAATAGGGCTAATACCTGCTATACGGATGTATAGGGAGGCTTGATTAATTCATATTTGTCAAGTGTTTTTAGATCCTCCCCATGAATGGTGATGTGCACAGTAAGTGCAGAGTATTGTTGTTATAACAAAATTACAGAAAGTATATAAGTACAGTCAGCTTTCCTGTAAGTAAAGTAACTACTCTGAGAATCCAAGTTATGCCAATTATTTGTTTACCAGGTGGGATTTTTGGGGGGAAAAAAGAAAATGAACTATTTTCTCAGTGGGACTTGCATTTTTTGAATGCTGTTATCACAAAATCTGTGCTATATGTACATCTAACATTGCATTCTGAAGAAACTGATAAAAGTAGGCATGCTGGGAAAATTGTAAATCGGAATTTATCATTACATCAGCCAAAGAGTGAGTCTTACTCCTCTGCAGATATATTCAGTTCATTCACTTTTCCTGTAACTTTCTCCAAGTCCTAGTTCACCACAGTGTGTTGCTGTACCAAGCACTGTAACTAATTTTAATAACAAACTAGAAATGTGGTTATGTTGTAAAGCCTATGTTCATAGAATTGAATTCCATTTTTGGATCCCCTTATATTATACTGGATATCTCCTCTGGATATAATGAGAGCATCAAGAATTGTTGCACATTCTGAGAAGTGCCGTTTTGATTTGTTTCTTAGGGAAAAGAGGGAAGGAGAATAAAACTCCCAACTTGGGGATTATCACAGGACTGCCTGAGATGAAATGTGTTAGCTAAAATATGTCTGTTTTGCTTTCAGATGGTAAAAAAAGACTCCTGCCTATAAATTCCTGTTTTACAATCCATATTTGCACACTTTTTACATGCATCACACAGAGATGCTTCTATTGCTTTTCAGTCACTGTTACTGAGTGTCAGAAACTGAGGAAGAAACCCTTTATTCTGTTGGCATTGATGGATTTCAGCATCAAATATTGTCTATTAACATCCATTTCGTTAATATTATTCATAAATATGCAGTTGGGTCCAGATTTTTAAATTATACATTGGGGAAATAATCAGATAATTTATTTAAAAAATATTTTTTAAAATGTCTAATTTTCCATTTTTATGCAGAATTATTGTGATTACATGTGCAAATTATCCTCCTGCAACTTTAAAAATCGGATCCATGTTCTATTTCATTTTTTAAAAAGACAGGGGTAATCCAATAACAAAATTTTAATTTTGAGTTGAATATCTATAGCTAATTCATAAATGCAAGGACTAACTTTCCATCTGCCGCATGGCGAATAGAAGAGGATAATTCTAAATGTTGTGGAGAGACTAAAATACTAACTTCATGTTATGCAGATGAAGTACTTTAAAACACTAAGAGACATGAGAATTAGTTGAAGAATGACCTCCAGTGGCCTGGAGTGGGATTATTATGAATTTCAACCTGTGGAAACCAGCTCTGTAGAGTATGCAACTCCAGGAACTAATTCTTTCCTTCTCCCTGCCAATCCTGCAAACTCTTACTGGAATGCTAATGCAAACTCTGATTGGTCAATGAGTATTCATACAGCACATACTTCAGAAATAGTCAAGGAGAAAGTTGCCCTGGTGAAAGGAATCAAGGAAGAAAAAGATGAGAAAAACCAGAGGAGAAAGGCTAGAAAGGAACCTAGAAGATCAGAAAGAGAGAAGGAGGTTAGAAATCTTGTGCATCAATCTTGCCTTGAGCTTCCCTCTGACATGGCTGCATGTAAAATCTTGGATTGGCAGTTTGGCATGTTAGAGTTCCTAAAATGGTGCATGGTTGCATGGCTGGGTTTCATTCTTGATGCTTTGCATAAAATTATCTACCCCTCGTTTGACATCCCACTGAAAGCTTTCTGACTATCTCAATGGAAAGTATGTCATTTAAAAAAAAAATGAAATTTTACTTCTGGGAGTCCCATGTGAAAATCTAAGTTGAAGAAACTAACACAAATGGGCCATAACCCAAAGTTTAAAATTATTTCAACCAAAATGTAAATATGCAAAATGCCTTCTGTAGTTCCAATAACTGACTTTTTAATTTCCTTTAGTTATGTTTATACTTTCTTGCCTTGATCATTTCTGCTGGCCTTTTATCACTATTGTCCAAGAGTAATATGCTTATTATTGTGATTTCATGATGATTCTCTCTGTTTAGCAAGGGAGAAGAGAATAGTAAGTTCACATCAAATGCTTGAAAGCCATGAATGGTTGATTCAACTACTTTAGAATATTGAAATATTCAGATGCTATTCGGAGTACTGTACTCTTACTGATATAATTTTCCCTATTTTAAACCTTCCGATTTTAATTAGCAATATGCTAAAGAAACATTGCCGTTCACTCTTTGATTTCAAAGGTTAAAATTTTCCAAACTTAGCAGTTTTGTCTCAGAAGTGAAGATAATTATCTTTCTATTGATTTTTTTTTTTTTTAATTCAACACTCCCGGGGCAGGATATTTTGTTCACAACAAATAATTTGACCAACTTGGGCAGTGAATGGTGTAAACAGCAAGATAGAGTGGTGGGAGGAGGCAACAAGTGAGATTGGAAGGAGTATCCAATCTTTCACCCTTACAGGAGATGATAGCATTGATGGAAGCAGTAAAGAAGAGAATGTGACTGTTGGGGTTCTGGTAGATAATGGAAGAAGTGAAGTGCCTTGATTAGATCATGCTGAAGCACCAGTGGGATTCACAAACTAGGTGAATTCACAAACCTCTCAGCATGCTGGCTGTTCTGAATCCCATTCTTAGGTGCCTAACTCTCCTCTTGCATTGTATAGGGAGCCTGGGTCCCAAACTCAAGGTTATGAATTCTACTAGGAAATGAGGCAGGGGTGATGGATTCTTCCTAAAAGCGAGAGGGGGCCATGAGGCCCCACCCTCTCCATGGCCCTGCCCCCGCCCCTCCTCTTTCCCCTGATACCCCATCCACCAGCTAAGCAGAAGCTGGGTCAGGGAGCCCGGGCCCCTCCACTTGCCCTGGGTGAAGGGGCCTGAGAGCAGCCCCTGGCCCGTTTCCCTGCTCCCAGGCCCCCCATCCAGGGCACATGGAGGGTCCACAGCTGCCAGCGCAGCTCTTAGCCTGACCCGGCTCTGGCTTCTGACCTGGGGGCAAGGCCTCAGGAGCTGAAGAGTCACAGCTGGGCCATAGTAAGAGTCACCCGGGCAGCTTTGGGGAGCCGCGGACCCTCCACCTGCCCTGGGCAGGGGCCCAAGGAGTGGGACATGGGCCAGCGGCTGCTTTCGGGCCCCCCCCCCATCCCAGGCAGGTGGAGGGTCCACAGCTGCCCAGGCTCCCTGTGCCTCTGACCCAAGCCAGGCTCCAGCTTCCAGCCTGGGCAGGGCCTCAGGGGGAAGAGGAGGAGCAGGGGGCCAGGCCCATCCGTCCACTTTCAAAAGTGGGAAGGCCATGGCCTCTTGGCCCCCCCTGTTCTGGGGCCCCTATGGCAAGATGCCTAAAAGTTAGGCCATGTCTATGCAAAAGCGGCACAGCTATGATGTGCTATTGTAGCACTGTAATGTAGATGTTTCCTACACTGTCAGAAGGGATTTCTCCATTGATGTAGTTAATCCACCTCTCTGAGAGGCAGTAGCTAGGTTAATGGAAGAATTGTTCCTCTGACCTACCTGCACCTACAGGTATAGGTTGACCGATGTCACACAGAGTGTGAAATTTTTCACAGCCCTGAGTAATGTAGAAAGGTCAATATAATTTTTAGGTGTAGACCAGGCCTTAGGTGGTACAATGCTCAGTCCCCTTGTGAATCTAGCTCCTAAATGTTTCAGTTCAGGCAAATCTCCTCCATCATCGTGGTAAAGGTCGCACCTGTACAACAGCACTATAATTCTCTTTTTTTCATTTTTACTGATCTTGCAGTCTGCAAACTGTCCCTTGTAAGCAAGTCACTTATAAACAAGATCATAAAGTGTTTGCTTCAGATTTATACACTTAACTGATTGTCTACAAAATCAATATGCACTATAGGTATTGTTTTTCTAACAATTTCCAGAACAGTATCCTGTCACGCATTCTAGAATGCTCACTGTTAAAGACAGGGCTCGGGCAAGTGCTCTTTGGAGACGAGATATTTTTTAATAAAAGAAAGAGATAGGCAATGTGAAAAATGTAAATGCAGAAAGAGAAATGTGAGTCAGTGATTACACTGCTTTGAAAGCTCAGACTCTGCACTTGCAGAGAGAAGCTGATGCACAAAATAAAAGCAAACAAACAAAAATTTTCAGTTGACCACATAAAGGCATCCTGATATTAGCTTTGTCCTAAAAGACAAAATAGTTTCACTAGAATTCTACAAATGGGGGGAAAGGCAGGTTAAAACAATATATGTATTCAGTATAATATATATATCTTTTAGGTGCTCTATAACTTAAGGAGAAAAGTCTTCTATAATATCAAGGGTCCTGCAAATGACTGAGAACCTTTGAGTAAAATTAGTCTCTTTGTGCCTTTGAGTAGAATATGATTAGGATCAAAGTGGTAACACAGTTTAATTCAAATCTGAGCACACGTGGCACTTACATTTCCGTGATCCAACCTTCAATCAGTGAGCACTCTGTGTTTGGAGAATGCTTTCACTACCTGGAGACAATCTAAGCAAGCTGGCCCATGTTGCCTGGTGGCAGAGTGGGGTGCTTGGAGAATGGCTTGGTCCCAAGCTGGATCAGCTGCTGCAGCCGTGAAAAGTGAGCTTATCTGCTTTTCAGCTATTGGTTTCTTTTTAATTAAAGTGAAATGTTCACAGGAGTAGCTGTTATCTCCCAAAAGCCAGTAAGTTAAATGTCTGTTTAATTAACTGCAATTACTTTAATTGGGTCAGAAGAGAAATAAGAAAAAATAATGTAACAACAAAAATGAATTGAGTTAGCACTATGAGAAGATCCTTATTTAAAGCTACAATGGGTCCACTCCATTCTTGTCTCCCATTTGAACTCTGTCACACAGAATGTTTCAGACCTTTAAGGCAAATGCTGTTTCACTATATACTTCACTGTATACTTTATTATCATGTCTTTCACAGTTTGGGCCTTGTAAATGTGTCATAGCAATAGTAAATGATGAATTTCTTTCTATTTTAATGATAGAATAAACTGGTCTGTGCATCATTCATACTACTCAAGCTAATATTATGCTGCATTAGCAATATCGGTGGCAGCCTAGAATGCTGTGACATTGTTGGATCTTCTCACAGCCTTCAAGGCCAGAAGGGACCATCATGATCATCTAGTCTGACCACCTGCACATTGCAGGCCACAGAACCTCACCCACCCACTCCTGAAATAGACCCATAATCTCTGGCTGAGTTACTGAAGTCCTCAAATCTTGACTTAAAGACCAAGTTACAGAGAATTCACCATTTACTCTAGTTCAAACCAGCAAGTGATCCATTCCCCATGCTGCAGAGGAAGGCGAAAACCCCCAGGGTCTTTGCCAATCTGACCTTGGGAAAATTCCTTTCCGATCACAAATGTGGCAGTCAGTTAGACCCTGAACATGTGGTTGCCGCATAATAATAGTTGTCAATAAATACATGACCCATAAAATTGTAATGAGATATAGTCTCTTAGGGTTATTTCAGTTTAGGGGTTTTTGATTACTTTTTTTTTATTTTGGCTTTAATTTAAGGAAATATGGAAGAGTTCAGACATATTTAAAATACTCAGTATTACCAACTCTTGCAATACTTGGTGTTTTTCTTAAGGTCTCAGATCCTGGAGCCATGTAAATATATGAGAATCTTAGCTTTTGTTTAAAAAAAATTCTAGCTTTCACAGTAGTGGAGAAAAGCTTGAAAACATGAGCCCTGAAGGCACAAAACACAGAAAAGAAATACAATTAACCCAAAATGTATTATTTTAAAAATCAGCCTCATGATTTTAAACCAATTTCATCATTTATTGGCGGCATTTTTGAATGCTTAGGGTTGGCAATACTGCTGTAAAAATTAATAATGTCTTCAATCTCACTAGAAAAAAACAGCCCCCTTAAGAACAATTTATAACTCACCTGCCAGTTGTCTAGCACCCTCTGTACGGGAGCAAACTATTCAATTATTCAACTACCCCAATTATATTCAGTTATCTGGATCTAAATACTTGCAGTCAAGTATGACAAAAACATGGCAATCTTCACTTTTTAGTGTTTTATTATAGTCTGTCATTATCTGGTTACTGATTGTATCAGACAAGTCATTTTTGTGATTATTACTTCTCGCTGTCTCCAGACTTTCCTTTTCTGTACACATTCCACATTTCTTCTATTCATTTATTTTGGCAAACACCATGTAGGTGAGCTGGACTGTACAGGATTCCCAGTCTGGGAAGCGAAAGGCTCTGACTGGTAATCAGAACCAGGTCTCCTGTATGGTACTGTGGAACGTCTTTTCTCTCTCACTGTGTGGCTGAGATCATGGAATTTGTTTCAGCACCACAGACTCAAAATAGCTGCAGAGAATGAACAAACCAGCACAAAGATAAGATCTTGTAAGACTGATGTAATGAGATACAACTAAGAGATCTTAATTCTATGCCCTTTTCTTCCCTAGATATTGTTGGTCCTTGGAAGTATGGAACCAAAATTAATGTTAAACTGGCTATCTAGTAATGCTGTAATAATTTTTAAACTAGGTGCTAAGTAACCCCCATATTGCATCTGGGATAGTCTTCTGGTGAGAAGTTGTAACAATGAGCTGTAGGTGTTTTCAGGAATTAAAGATACTAAACTGTTAGTCTGCAATAGTAAACCATATAATGGTTCCATTACTCTTGGAAACCTTGATGATTGTAGTTTATTGGTATTGCTTTCAACAACAGCCAGTATTTGAATGGTATGTGTGATGTAAATATAGTTACAGTATATGGAATGTGTGTATGATATCTGTATAAAGTATGTGTATGTGTATATTTATATGGATTCAAAATTAGATGGGACAGGCACTGATTAAAATAAATTGCTTCTTTTTACAGGGTGATCAGACAGCCTTGCACCGAGCTACTGTTGTAGGAAATACAGATGTAATAGCAACTCTCATTCAAGAGGGTTGCGCTTTGGACAGACAAGACAAGGTAATGAGAAGACCTGTTGGATAATAACTGCACTAGACTGTAATATTATCATTCTTTGGAATATGCTGTTTAGAATTTATACTCTGGAGTAAACCATTTAATTTGAATTTAATAGCAATTATGCAGATAAGAAACCCCACTTCCCTTTGGAAATATACTCCTGTTTTACTTACATTTGACATAAGTAGATCATCTCTGAGCCAGGAGTCTGACTTTCTCCTCATGATGCTGATTGTTGGCAATATGATAAAGACCACAGGCTTCAAAGGAAACATTGGGAATCAGCCAGCTAGTGAGGCAGCGTGTAGTGCTACTAAGAAAACTTAGTTCAGTGGAGGCTGAGCAGTGCTGTTTGTTAAGCAAAGATACGAACTGAATGTCTGTGAAGGAACCATGTTGATACCTCTTCAGAGGTATCATTAGTTAGGGAGGGAATCATTTCTTTGTCATTTGCAACTGGAAGTCATTTACCTGATATAATCAGAGATGCTTCTGCCCAACTAAGTAATATATATGTGGCCAGACAGGGCAATAAAAAGTGCTGGTTGCTTAGCAACATAATGTACCACTACCCCGTCAAGTTGACTCCCAATATATTTCTAGACTAATCAGATAGAGAATCAAGTTAAATAGTACCCTGGGGGCAACAATACATAGGGTAGTGCTGCAATATTGATTCTCTAGGAAGTGCTTTGGACTGTAGAGAAAACATGAGCTAAGTAGGTCTATACGTGAAAGCTCATATTCTACTTCAGATTTTATTTAATCCACATTTTAGATAAGGCTATTCATAAAAGCCAGTATCTACTAACCACACACTCAGACACACACACATTCTCTCTCTCTTTCTCTGCTTAGGTCAGAAGCTGAGTTCTAGGCAGAGGGAGACATCCAAAACTATAAAGCAAAAGCCTTCTATGGGGTTTGCTTTACTAGCCACCTGTATGAGGTTTCAGGAGAGTCTTCTCCCCAGCCCTTGAACTTCCTTGGTGTCTGCAGACCCAGCACCAAAATGAAAGCAAAAAGTCTGATAGGACCCTTACCCCTCTCCGGGATGGTATTTGGATACCCTTTTCACCCCCAGATCTTATTTTTTGCCTTCAGTCCTGTAGCACAAATGTATGTGCCCTGGTGAGAATTCACTGCATTTCTCAACTATGCACAGTGTAAAAACCCGTTGCCATGTACGTATGGGGAAGGAAAGCAAGCCAAAATAGGGAAAGAATGGGTTAAAGAATATTTAGATAAATTGTATATATTCAAGTCAGCAGGCCTGATGAAATTCATCCTAAGGTACTTAAGGAAATAGCTGAGGCAATCTCAGAACCACTAGCGATTATCTTTGAGAACTCATGGAGGACATCTGAGGTCCCAGAGGACTGGAGAAGAGGAAACATAGTACCTAAGTTCCCCTAGCATTTAAAAGGGAAACAAAGAGGACCCAAGGAATTACAGACCAGTCAGCCTAGCTTTGATACCTGGAAAGATACTGAAAAAAATTGTTAACCAATTTGAAAGCAAAGGATAGAGGATAATAGGGTTTAAGGAACAGTTATCTGGTTTGCTGTCAGACTGGGAGAGTGTATCTATTGGGGTGCATAGGGGCCTGTTCTGGGTCTGGTACTAATCAATATTTTCATTAATGTCTTGAATAATGAAGGAGAGAGTGTGCTTATAAAATCTGCAGATGAGACCAAGATGGGAGGGGTAGAAAGCATTTTGGAGCAGAGGATTAGAATTGAAAACAACCTTGACAAATTGGAGAATTGGTCTGAATTCAACAAGATTAAATTAAATAAAGACAAGTGCAAAGTACTACACATAAGAATGAAAAACAACTACAAAATGGGGAATAACTGGCTAAGCAGCAGTACTGCCTGAAAAGGACCTAGGGGGTTACAGTGGATCACAAATTCAATATGAGTCAACAGTGTGATGCAGTTGCAAAAAAGAGGCTAAAATCATTCTAGGGTGTATTAACAAGAGTGTTGTATGTAAGACATGGGAGATAACAGTCCTACTCTACTCAGCACTGGTGAGGCCTCATGTGGAGTACTGTGTGCCATACTTTAAGAAAGATGTGGACAAACTGGAGAGAATCTAGAGAACAAGAAAAATGATAAAAGGTTTAGCAACCTGACCTATGAGGAAAGGTTAAAAAAACTGGGCATGTTTAGCCTTGAGAAAAGACTGAGGGGGGGACCTAATAACAGTCTTCAGATATTTTAAGGGCTGGTATAGAAATGAAGGTGATCAATTGTTCTCAGTCTGCACTGAAGGGAGGACAAGAAGTAATGGACTTAGTATGCAGCAAGGATGATTTAGCTTAGATATTAGGAAAAACGTTCTAACTACAAAGTGCTGGAACAGGCTTCCAAGGGAGGTTGTGTAATTTCCATCATTGAAGGCTTTTAACAGATTGCACAACCTGTCAGGGATGGTCTAGGCTTTCTTGGTCCTGTCTCAGTGTAGTGGGTTGGACTAGAGAACGTCTCAAGGTCCCTTCCAGCCCAGCATTTCTATGATTCTATATAAACACCACCACAGTCATCAGTTAAATCACACTGTATGGAACTTCATAGAGAATTCCCATCACCTTTTGTTCCAAATACAGGTCACTAAAGGACAATTCTTGATTAGCTGTTACTATCTTTAGGGCTTATAGTCTTTCTGCGACAGCCACTGGAAGACAAGTCAATCACAAACACATGAACAGGTCTAATTCTAACTGTTGAAAAGGAAACCATCTACATCATAGGCTGCAATTCCCACCATCTCTTGCAGACGAAAGGATGCCAACAAAGAAAAGCAATGGAGCACATACTCCACACATGTCAGTATAATGTTATGCTTGGTTAGGAACTCAGAGGTTGGTGAAGTAGAGGCAGGGAGGGTTGAAAGTAGGAGGATGCCCATGGAAGTTGTTTAAGCCTAGGTCTAGCATACATATGCCTATCCCCAAACAGAATTAGATAGCAAGAAAAGGGAAATGATTTTTAATGCCCAAAGAGGGGTACAGCACTTACATTCTGAATGTAACATTCCTGTATGTGTGGACACAACACCCTAAACTGCTGCTCTTGTGTGTGTGCTCTTCAGGATGGGAATACAGCGCTTCATGAAGCATGTTGGCATGGATTCAGTCAGTCTGCCAAACTGCTCGTTAAAGCAGGCGCTAATGTTCTTGCCAGAAACAAGGTGAGATGCATGTAGAAAGAGCTTTCAGTTCCGATGTAAAATGGCTGTTTCTCATTGGTGGTGATCTCTGGTAATGGCATTTCTCAACAGGTGGTGGTCTAGTTCCTCGTGGGATTTCTCATTCTCTTTGAATTAATTATGCCTGGATGATTCCACTGCAACCATGAGGAAATTTTGTATTGTGACAGCTGAAACAGGAGGAGCTCAGTAATCCTTTGAATGATACATTAATTATGGCTGAAGAACACTGGAATTCTTAGAGAAACCTCTGCTGTGTCCTAATTTATATTGAGTGGATTCATTGTGATGGGCATGATTAAAATGAATATTAATTGAACTAATAGGGAAATAGCATTAAAATCCAATTTATCAGAAGTTACAGTCAAATGAATGCATAAACCACAAAACAAGGAAAACCGTATATCTTTTGTTACAATGTTTCCATTAATGTACCAGGATTTAGTCTTGTTAAAAATTTGTGAGGAACTCCAAGTGTGTCTCTCTTTCTATTATAATATCTTATGAGCAATTCAGGAGAACTGAATATATGACCCACCAGAACTGCAAACAAGATATTTTATAACACAAACATAGAGTACCAAGTGAGGACTGTAAAATTATATCATAAATTGGTGCAATATACCGTGACATAAACAATTTTGCTAAGATCAAAATGAAATACCCTTGGGAGATTTTTTTCCCCACTCACTAGTCAAAAGGTTAATGGAATAATCTGAAAACCAGCAAGGGGCAATATATGCTAAATTAAGGTTGGGAATGTTCAGCCAGTTGAGCAGTCAGATTTCATGGACATCACTATGTGTTGTTACAGGCAACAGGAATGTAGAGCTTCTATACTTGGTGCCACAAGTCCTCCTTTTCTTTTTGCGAATACAGATTAACACGGCTGCTACTCTGAAATCTTATTTTACCTCGTAATTTTCCTTTAAAAAACGTTCCATACAATTTCAGTAAACATGTCTATAAAACTATGAAATAAGCCAACAGTTCAAAAGAACTACAGTTGGTAAAACTAAACTATACAATGAATGGTTTCAGAGTAACAGCCGTGTTAGTCTGTATTCGCAAAAAGAAAAGGAGTACTTGTGGCACCTTAGAGACTAACCAATTTATTTGAGCATAAGCTTTCGTGAGCTACAGCTCACTTCATTGGATGCATCATTATGGCAAACATTATTCTGTGAGATCAGTACTAGCGTTTTTACATCCGTGAACAGTCTGTAGCTTTCCGGTCATATTTAGGAGGCTGGGAAATCAGAGGTGTCTTTTTCCAAATCAGTACAACTTGAGTCCAGTTCCTGTCACTAAAGTCAATGGGAGTTTTGCCATTCAGTAGGAGCAGGAGCCAGGTCCACTCTTTGAGCTCTAAGTTCCCTGTGCTTCCTCTGTAATTTTTGTGAATTTCTACCAAAGTGCTGCAGCCTCATTTCTCTGCCTTGCTGCTCGAATTTACACTTCTAACAGATAATAATGAAAGAACTGTACAGGCTCTTCAGAGAATAACCCAAGGGAAAAAATCTCTTCATTTAACTTTGTTCAGAGAAAAAAAAATCTGTAATGCCTGCTACAGTTCAGAGACTTGTATTCAGAACTGCACTACACAGTAATGTTGAATCAAAGACTTAAGACTCCTCTAAGAGTTCTTCCAATTCAAAATGTGCAAGCGATGACTGGTGTTTGAGCAGTAGGTGAGACATGAAAAGGAGGATAATTGGGAGGAGAATGAAAAAGAAGCAGGGAGCCTGATAATGCCTAAAACCCTTTTACTTGAGCTGATCACATTTTCAGATCCAAGCAAACCTATTGCAGGCTCAACGACAAAGATCAACAAAACAAATATTCTAAGGACTTGTCTACATGTGTGTGTGGATTAAGTTTGTGCACATTAACAGCTGTGGAATAACTATTCCGAAATAATTGTATCCATACAGCTTTTACTACATACTTCCCTCTTAATCAGTGTGCACACGCAGCACTGACTTCTTTTGAAATAAGCTCTCAACATATCAGGCAGGTATCCCATGGTGCTTTTCCCCGCTGCTGGTCTCTATGTATTCTGGGATTTTTCTGATGGTGCACTATAGGATACCCTACCTGAAGCCACTAGAATTCTGTGACTTGGGGTTCACAGCAGCAGATTTCCAGGATTCCTTTCCTCATCTCCCATGGTTCATGTCTTTTGCAAGTCAGCCCATTTTCAAACTGCTGTCAGCCAGCATGGAGTGAAACAATGCAGTCAGGGATACCATCGGAGGGACTGAAAAATTAATCTAGAATGCAGATGTGTCCACGCAAACCTTCTTCTGCACTAACTTACTTCAAAATGAACTCAAGCCATTTTCGAAGTGGATTGTCCAATTTACACTAACTGGCCAGTTAATTTGAAAGAAGAATTGTGTCATGTGGACAGAGCCCATTTTATTGAAAAAACAAGCAAAAAATTGCAGTTAGTATAAAATAACCCTGCCTCACTGGTGTAGACAAGCCCTAAACTCTCAGGCCAACAAAACCCCTCAGCCCTTCAGAAGAATAAACACACAAACTTTTCCACATGTGAACTTCCACCTGTAACAAAACTCATCTTTGCTTTTCTCTGGACCCTTAGTAACTCACCAAGTTCTTTTCCTATTTCTGCCTGAAGACTTTCATGCATTGTAAATATACAAGCTCTCTACAGCCTAAAACCATCACTCTGCCCCCATTATCTATACATGTGCTGATTTCCATAACTACCCTAATAGACTGGAAATAGCTTTGACCCTTGATTACCTAACAGACCACAGGAATTCAAACATACTTTCATTCAGGAATGAAAGTACAAAGCCATGGAGCAGCATGTTTCTTTGTGCAAAGAAACAGGAATTACATTTATAAGACAAATGTAACCATGTGCATATTTACTCACACTGTGCCCACAAACACGCACATATATGCATATGTGAGCTGACAGCCCCTCCAGGTGTAAACAGGAGAGCCGGGCATTCCATGAGGGATCCCGGGGTCTAGAATTCACTTCCACCTTTGTTTTGTCAGAGCACAAATGTGGAGACCTTCAATGAGACACACGTTTATTGAGATGGGGTGGTAGTGTTTGCTTGCTTTGTTTTTTGACTTATGTCCATTTTCTAAAGATGGCTTTTGTATTTTTCTGTCTCTTTCCTAAGGCAGGTAACACACCTCTGCACTTGGCCTGCCAAAATAGCCATTCCCAAAGTACTCGTGTTTTGTTACTTGGAGGATCTCAGGCAGATCTCAAAAATAATGTAAGCTTAAAAAAATAAATTTTTTAAAATGATTATTCTTCTTCAGCTTGTGGAAATACAGCTTTCAAAATATCAAACTTTGCCTTTCTGTTTGTTATGAGGGCTGGGAGGAAAATAACAACTAAGTGACTAAACAGTGGGGTTTAAAAATGTTTTGTGATAAGACTAATGAAGGTGTTACTTATAGCCGTTGTGAAGTGGGAGGGGGACAGAAAAATTAAAGATGTATGCATTGTTTTCTGCTGTTACATGCACCTGAACGCAAGCTATCCTTGGTTGCTCATTTTTAAGACAGAGAATCATAGAATATCAGGGTTGGAAGGGACCTCAGGAGGTCATCTAGTCCAACCCCCTGCTCAAAGCAGGACCGATCCCCAATTAAATCATCCCAGCCAGGGCTTTGTCAAGCCTGACCTTAAAAACTTCTAAGGAAGGAGATTCCACCACCTCCCTAGGTAACGCATTCCAGTGTTTCACCACCCTCCTAGTGAAAAAGTTTTTTCTAATATCCAATCTAAATCTCCCCCACTGCAACTTGAGACCATTACTCCTTGTCCTGTCATCCGCTACCACTGAGAATAGTCTAGATCCATCCTCTTTGCCCCACCCGAATACTGTAATAGAAGTCTGCAGGTGGAGTCCTCCCCTGTGTTTGAAAAGTGGAAATCTTTAGAGGGTTCTGTAAGAGTCCAAGGAAATTCTTCAGAGACACTCCTTGGGAGGGGCTCATCTATCAAACCAAAGAACTTCACTTGGTTTTGAATTTTCAAACTGCTTTCCTCCCTTTATTGGGGATCTGGCATAAAACAGGAACAAAACAAAACAAAAATTGGAGCCAGATATACCTGAGTTTAAACATAGCAAAGCTTGCAAAAGAGCACTGTACTCTAACTGCTTGAGGCCTTGCGTTTTGCATTCATTATAGAATTTCCAGCCCATGTCCAAGAACTTTGTGAATTGTGTGTGTCTATATTGGTGACCCTGTTGTAGAAGGTCATACGAGTCCCATTTTAATTATGTTGAGATACTATAAAAAGTTCACATTAGTTTTGATTTCAGTAGAACCAACCAACTCATCTAGCACACATGCAATAAAAAGGCAACACAGAAATAGAAAGGGGCATTTCCTTGCCTTGACTGGAATTCACACCCGCGCTCTGGATATTGCTAAATCTTTCCAGCCATGATTATTCATTCTTTACCAAATAGCATGTGGTGTATTAGAACTGGCTTTTCAAAAAAGTCCCTAGGATATGCTACTTCCTGACCCCTCCTACCAGGCATAATTTCTCCACCACCTCTCCATCCACTTCCTCTACTAAGTAATTTTAGCATTGTTTGAAGCAAATGTTTTCCCCATTTGTTTCAGGTTGATAATGGTGTAATGCTTGAGATGTGTTGAAGGTCTAGGGCAGTCAATACCCTTTCCAAGTTAACAGTGCTGGGGGGAGTGGATCAGCATTTATGTCGCACTCCCCATCAGTACCCAGCCTGAGCCAGAGAAGCTAATGATTCAACCAGTGGACCAAATTCGGTGATGAATCCTGGTCACATGCCACCTGAGGCATATTGCACATATGCTAAGAAGAAGTTAACAGTGCTGGCTATATATAAGGAACATAGGGCCAGAACCTCAATGGAGCTATGACAGTTTATACCAGCTGAAAATCTAGTCCATAGCTTCCTTGAGATACATCCTCTGCACTTCCCCATTGTACAATAACAGAAACAGTTGCTTGGTTTCACTGGCTTTCCATACAAATTCAGAGGTAAAAATATAAAGCAGCTAAGCCATTTGATCCCAAAAAACAATTAAATAAAGATGCTTCTATGTCATTCACCACATCTCCAGTTCAGTGTTAAATAGCTTACTTCATCCCCAAACACCCTGACAAGCATTAGCTTTTCTATTGTGACTACATGCTTAGAGCTTTATTTCTGTTTGCAGGCAGGAGATACCTGTTTGCACGTTGCTGCTCGTTATAATCACTTGCCCATCATTAGGGTACTCCTCAGTGCTTTCTGTTCTGTCCATGAAAAGAACCAGGTCAGTGCATGAACTATTCACTGCAGCCAGGCACCCTTTTTATAAGGCTAATAACTGAAATGAGGGACCATTGATCACATATGGGGCCCACTGTAAATACTCCCTTTTAATGTTCATTTCACTGTAATCTAAAGATACCTGGGCTTCTAAGAATAGCCTTAAAGAAATGGGGTGCCTGTGGTTTGTTATCATTTCAGAACATGTTGCTGCATTTACATTTCTAATTTATAACATTTTCTATTTATTATGCTATATAGAAATATATTTCTGGTTTTTTTTTTAAATGGGAAACAGGAGTGAACTGGTGGTTAGAGCAGATTGTGATCACTAGGTGTGATCACACTGGGCAAGACACTTCACCTCTTTGTGCCTCAGTTTACTCCCCGGTAAAGGAGGGATCATAATATTACCTGCCTCACAGAAGTGTAGAGAGGCAGAACTGATTAATGTTTGTAAGGCGATTTATGATGCTACATAAATTACATTTTTATTAACATTTTGTAGTATATTCTCTATTTGTCCAGTCCTTATTGCTTTAGTGGGAAGCAAAAACATGGAAAATTCAAGGAAAACTTGTGTTAAGTACAACGGAATGATTAAGCTACATGAGGATTAACCATCCAGGTTTATTTTACAGGAGAAACAAGCAAATGCTGCCCCAACTGAACAGCTTAGCTGGGTGGTACAACAGAATGGATTAGTGCATTTAAAAAAATGTACTAAATCTGCTAAGAAAAATAATTTATATGGTACTTTACAAACTAATGTTACTGAGACACTTTCCGTATAGGCATAGTGCAGGATCATACTTATGTTTTCTGATTTGTATGTACAATGTTGTTTTTCAAATGGAAAATATTACAGCAAATTGAATGGGTTTCAGCCAATTTAAATTGGCTATGCAATTTCATACATTAATATGCAGTATTGTTTAGGGGGATGAATTTAGTTGCTTGTGAGTTACTGAGTGATGATATTGACTAGGATTAGCATGGTACAAGCAGAAACCATTCTGCCTGTACTCCACAATATTACCCAGACAGCCTAAAGCTGACCTGTAACATATCTGTCTTCAGTGCCAGATTCTCCTAAATTGTTGCTGGCAAGCATATGTTATCTGTGTTGCATGTGTTCAGTGGTACCAAAGTTGTTTTTCATTTGTACTTGCAATACATGTCCAAAGGTGAAGTGAATGCTCTAGTGCTCTGACCACGTATATATTGTGTAATCACTTAGGTTGCTATGTTCTAAGAGTTGTTTTAAGAAACATCAACATATCAAGTAAAAAACAAACTGTCTTATTGCAGTTTATCCAAGATCATTTTCCAGCTTGTCAAGCTCAAGAAGTGGCTCGTATGTTCATAACACCAGGGCATCGAAGTCCAGATAATCAAACCTATAAAACTGTCACAGAGATGAGGATACACTATAACATTCTGCCCTCAGCAATGTTGCACCCCTGCATTTGAGGACAGATTTGGGTCAAGCGCTTTTGGGTCTCCAACATAATTTTCCTCTGTGAGCATATTCACATGGATCAGTTAATTTAATAGGAATATGGCTAATCCCAACCCTAGCTGCCTTCCTCAAAATGATGTGATTTAGCCCAAATCTTAGTCTGCCTCTCTGTTGATCAGTCCTTATTAAAGTTCAGTTCATGTAACTACATTTGGACCTACTGAACCATAAAGGGGCACAAAGAAACTGGAAATGCAGTACATACAAATCAAAGATGTCTGCTAGCATGTTGTATTCTACTTTGTAAATTTCAGACTGGAGATACTGCACTTCATGTAGCTGCTGCTTTAAATCATAAAAAGGTGGTCAAACTCTTACTGGAAGCAGGGGCTGATGGGTCAATTGTCAACAATGTAAGTACAGGCAGAATTACTTTGATTCTTTATGATAATGTTTCAAAGATATTTTCTGCAGATTTTTCAAATGTTGGCTGATAATATGTAGACATTAGCTGTTAAGTAAATTAAAATGCTTGATTATTTTATACAAACACACACACAACTCTTTGACTTTAGGGGAGATATTTCAGAAATTTATTTTTTTGATGCTAGTTGAAGGAAATAATGTATTTTTTTTTCTTTTCAGGCAGGTCAGACTCCTCTAGAAGTTGCTAGACAGCATGATAATCCTGACGTTGCTCTTCTCCTTGCTAAGGCACCACAGGTACATTATAAATGTCTTTATTAGTAACAAACCCCAGAGCACCCTTTGGCAGGAATGTTCTTGGATAGCTCCTGGAGCGCGCACACAGCGGCAGTTGGGTTCCAGTGTTGCTAGGGTTCCACCGCCTTAAATGCCCACTTGTGCACTGATGTGCAGGGCAAATTAGAAGAGTGTGTCCCCCTAAAAAGGCTCTGTGGGATAGCAAATAAATAAGCTTGTCTCATTACCCAGTTTTTGTAATAAGACAGTGGAAAAAGTGATGATGTTATTGATTGGAAATGCCTCCTTGCTTCAGGTCTTACGCTTTAACCGTGGAAGAAGCCTTAGAAAGAAGAGAGAAAAACTCAAGGAGGAAAGACGAGCTCAGTCTGTACCAAGAGATGAGGTGGTACAGAGTAAGGTACAGCCAAGCATTTCCAGCTTAATGTGTTAAAAGGCAGGGAAGTCTGACCTAGCGATTACAATAAAATCCTTCAGCACTGAATTCACCTTTTGTGTAGCTGTGCAGCAGGCACCTGGAGAAACACACAGGTCCCTGACTGCAACCAATCCTATATAAGTTTCCAGCTTTATAATTCTTAGGGATGCTCAGAGCAAGGTATACTGTTAACCCTGGCCAGCGCAGTGCATCTTGCATTGCTGTTGAAGACCCTCTGGTGGTGATTCTCTATGCACTACTGTGCAAAACAACTTAAAATTAGGGATGTAGCAAAGACAAGCCCTCACAACTCCCTGTCTCTGTTTTAAATAGGGCAGTGTGTCAGCTGCTGAGGATACTCACAGCAGTGACCAGGTGCCTCAGAAGAAAGGAGATCTGAAAGATGAACCACGGTCAACTTCACCAGAGCCCAAAGGAAAGAATAACAAAAAGAAAAAGCCCAGAGAAAAGGTACCAATAAATTTAAAGTAACAGAGAGGGACTACTGTTAAACAATACAGAGTTCCCATCTCCTAGCAAAGGGGTAAGTACACCATCTCTCCAGCCTTCCGGTCTGAGACAGGAGTCAGCTAATTTTCTCAGATTCCAAGCAGCAGTCATTTATTGGGTTGGTTTTTTTTTTTGTAAATTGGGGAATGTTGTGTGTGTTTCAGATTTCAGCACTCTCAGACCCTGCTTCACCAGCTGACCAGCAGACACTCCTTGGTCCGCAGCAGAGCTTACCTAAGCATCGTAGAAGTAAACATCGTTGCTCATCTCCACCACCCCCACATGAGTTCAGAGCCTACCAGCTTTACACACTGTATCGTGGAAAGGATGGTAAAGTAATGCAGGTAAACAAGCTATCACAATCAAAAATCAGTGAAGTACAAGTGCCAACTGGATTTGAGGTTAGGAAATGAAACAGAGATGGCCTCTGACTATGTATTATGTTGTTAATTCTTCAGTTTGTTGTATGGGATTCACCAGTATTTTAGAATGAAGCCTGGCAACAGTAAGGTGGTTTTATGCATACCATGTGGTGTATGTTTAAGAGGTTTTGATAAATGAAGCATTTTCTATTTGTAGACAAGGTGCACACAATGATTGAAAATGACACTAGAATCTTGCAAGTTTCCACTTTGGAATGTTATTACCTATTTCCAGTAGGAAAAGCTAGAAGCTTTATAAATGAAAAGAAATGCACAGTCTCTGCCCTGAAGAGTTTACAGTCCAAACAGAAAGCCTGAATATGTGCAATACCTTTATGTTTCAGTTTCTTCTCTTTACTAAATTGTGTCTATTGGAGTTCAAGAATTACTAGAGGCTGGGTTTAACATACTGTTGCCCCTTTTTGACTTGTAAGGTTAGCCAAAATTCAGGGTCTTGCAAGCTGTTTCCCTAAGAAGAAATTGATGTCAGGTATTTCTTTGATACAATCCTGCTTACTTACAAATAATGAACAAAGACCTTTCTCTGTGAACACAAGAAGAATTAAACAGGCTTGCTGCTTGCTTGTGTCTCCTTCTGTGGTGTTTCTCCTACTTTTTCTCAGACATGTCCCTGTACTAAAACAATATGCAGCAAAGCCCCTGAACCCATCTAGTTCTAATTCCTGAACAGCCTCCTATGTGCTTTTGTGTTGGGTAGAAGCTCCTATTGTTTCAGCTACTTGGTTCCATAAAGATGCTTTAATAGCTTCTTTACAACTATCTTAAATGAAGGGTAATGGTTATGCCCCTCCCCAATTTCACTGAGATTTATGAAATAGAGCAGAGTGGTTAGTGAACAGGAAATACCAAACCACATAAACTCACTGCACTTCAGACACTGTAATTTGCTAACCTCGTGAATATGCAATGGATATTCCACCCATTTGTTTGACTTAGTATAGTTCCCCTAAATGTGAATCTGCAAATATTCACTTAAAGCCCTTTTTAGAACAACACAAAAGCATGCAATAAATTATCAAGTGATTCCCCTATTGAAATGTAAGTGACTTTGATCTGATGGGTCTATTCCATCTAACTACTGCTGCTTTTATGCATTTTGTACCAAGACACATTCAGGAAAGCAGTGCTTCCCATCTCTGACTCTGAACATAAACCTTTATTCTCCCTTGCTGCACTTGGGGAATCGTGTATATCAGAAGGTAGGATGGAATTTAACAGAAACTATTGAAGAGCATCTATTGCAGACCTCATATACTCTGTTGCCATGATGGCCAGAGGCCTCAAGAAGTAGAAACTTTGGAGGAAGGATTGGAAAATTCCAGAGCTGAGCACAATGAGGACTATTCTGATGTTAGATGTGGGATTCAAGAAAGAAACCTGAGGCAGAGTTATTTTATTTATTTAATTATTTCTATGGTAGTGCCCAGGAAGAGCTGGGCAATTTCTATACGTTCAATGAGGGATGGTTTCTGCTGCTCCAAGAATCCCTCAGTCTAAGGACAGAGGTAGGGAAAGGAACAAGAAGTAAGGATCTGCATACATGTCAGTTACATTTACTTATAGGCAGCATGGCATGAGTGGGGCTTTGAGAGACTTACATTTGGACATAGCAGGGTTCTTGCCGATGAGCTCAGGGAGGCTGCAAGGAAGAAGGCAAAGAGATGTGTGTGAGAGAAGTTGCCAGCAGACAGGTGAGGATGAGAGGAATGCTAGTGCAGCGAAGGGGGTTATGCAATGATATATATGGGATTTTAAATTGCAATTGAAGGAAACTGAGCAAAATGTTCAGGTTAAAGAAAAGTCAGAAGCCAAAACAAATCAGTTTTATAGCATCAAAAGCAAAAGAACACCCCAAAACCAACAACTCCCCTCCCCAATTTTACAGCATCGATAAGAATCATAACGTTAGGTCTCAGGCCCCAATCCTGTAATTGGATTTGCAAGATGGATCCTTGTTACCCATCTGGAGTCTCAGTGAAGTCAACAGTGCTCCATGCAGATCAGATTGCAGAACCCCAGTCTAAATCATTCCCAAACAAAATATACTTCATATATTTGTTTCCTTCTTCATGCAGGCCATGAGAGGTTATCAGGACAGTAATACAGTACCAAAGCAGATTAGCTAGGGTGGCAGGAAGTTCAATTATAGAAGAAGTAGTGAAAATTTACTGACTGTTTGAGTGTTAATAGCACAGAGGGATAAAATCAAGCTATTTTGCTATTCCTTGTGCTCTCAGGCCCCAATAAATGGATGTCGTTGTGAGCCACTGATTAATAAACTGGAGAATCAGCTGGAGGCAACCGTGGAGGAGATAAAAGCTGAGTTTGGGACAGTGCAGGATAAGATGAATATCAAGCTGGGACAGATGGAAAACAAAACTCAACATCAAGTAAGAAAATGGTCCAGGGATATGCTATTAATGTTAGAAACATGGTTAAGTCTCAGTAAATATTTTCATTTTCATTGTGTGTGTGTGTGTGTGTATATGTGTATATAAATAAATCTAATTCACACCTGTGACCTTTAAACTATGATGTTCCACCGGGAGATCTATTGTTACAAGCCAGAGTCCTGAGAAGAATAATAGTTAAAATAAACTGTACAGGTGACCTTCTGTGCTCACTTTGCATAGTGAATCAGAACTGGTTAGCTTCACTTTTAGGGTCTGATAGACTAAAGACAATGCTGCAGCTGCTGGGATTCAATGAAGGGAATGTTTAAAATTATCATGCTTTAAAATTTCAGTGAAAACAAGTTTTTAATTACTTTTAATTGTACAGCTTCGTGAGTGCCCGTTCCCCATCCCCCTTCTTGTAAGCAAGTTCTAATACTAGTTGATACTGTTCCTAGAAATGAAGGGTGAGAGTCAAAAGATTCATGATAATTTATCAGATGTACACTGATTTTTTCCTAACATGGTCTTTTGAACTGAGCTTTTGTGTTCTACCACAGCTCCGTGTTTTAGATAAGTTAATGGCTGAGAGGCTGTCTGCAGAGAGAAGAGAGTGCCTTCATCGCCTTCAGCAGCACGCTGAACTCGAAAAAACTGAGGGAGAGAAACGGCAGGTATGGGAGGAACAACGGTTCCACACAATTAACATAAATAAATAGCAGTAAGGGATGGATTAGTTGAAAGTTTGGTGCCAGTAAGCAGTGAAATGTCTGGATGCTTATCTGGCCCTCTGAAATATTTGAAGTGGACTTTAAAAGGTTATTTTGGTGGGGCTGGGGAGTTTCCAGAAGTCAGGAAGGTAAAATCTGGTCTGAGCTCTGACAACTTAGGGTTGGGCGTATGGAAACTTTTAACAAAGAATTCTTTTCCTTAAAATAATCACTAGAAGTTTTAACAACACACAACATTTTGAAAATTTGACTCAAGAACATCCCTTTCAACTTTTACTCTCTTGATCCTGGTGGTCATTTTATTAGTTCTTCTGTCACCAGAGTGTCTTTTAGATAGACCACGCATGATTTTTTAAATGTACAATTTTTTTAAAAGGAATTTTAAACCTGCTTTCTACAACCTAAAAAGGATACTCTACTTTTTCCTCCTTAGGTGATCTTTTCACTGTACGCTGAGACGATCCCCTTCCTCAAACACTCTTTTCCTTGATCTTTTCCTGCCCTCTTCCTCTGAAAAACACTTTCATGGAGAGAGGCAGAAGACTGCAGTCCCTTCCCTGTAGCATTATGGCAATACGACACTTTTCCCAAATTGAGCATTGCTGCAAATAAGCCACTATTACTTAGATTTATTTCTTTAACAGAATACTGGAACAGATATTATTGTCCTCTAGCAGATACCCATCTGCTGTTTTGAATCCATCTCTTGGGTACAAACTCCCCACAAACATGCTAGTAAAGTTCTACTTGCCCACTCACCGAGGGCTAGTAACTCTCTTTTGATAGGGAAGTAAAAACTAGGTATTTTCATTATGAAAATCCCAGTAAGAGTAGAGAAATACATTTCATACCTGTACTGGTAGATTTTCATGACACAACTTTGCAAAGCTGCCATAAACAAGAATAGGGGCGTAATATTAAAATAACTACTGCCCAGATATGCCTATGGAGACAGGGATGATCATTTAATCCGTTGATCTCTCTCTCATCGCCAAAACCACTTTATCCAGAGGACATACTTCTGAGGCAGAAACAACAATTAGAGCTGCCCAAAGTTTTATAGCAAGAGGCCTGGGTATCAAACTGTCTTCTCTACCTGCTGGTCTCTGAGCCTTCTCCAGGAAGACTGAAGAAACCTCAGTCTTCTAATACTCCAAAAGAAAGAGTGATCCATAACAGACAATCTCCTATCTGAATTATACTTAAGAAGCATAATATATATTCTTGTTCTATTAGGGCCTGATTCAATCAGTGGAAAGACTCCCATTGAATTCAATAGATTTTGGCTTAGACCCGTAGTAAACTGTTTGGGTAAGGACATGTTATTTGCATGGCACAAAGTCACAGTGCCACATAAATAACAGGCAAACTGAAGTATACAGGGACTGTTCTTTCTATATAATTCAGTTCTTACTGAATTTTTAAAATGTTCATCAGCAAATGCCCTCTAATACTAAGCATTTTTGTAACCTGAAAACCAGCGTTTGATTGTAAGTGACTGTGTTATCTGTTCTTCTAGCACAAAAACAAGAGAAGCACAGAAATCAGAGGTGGCACCATTGTCCCCAAAAACCCAATAGTGTTTGATCTGGACTTTTTTCTCCTAAAATCTGTTAGCTCTAATCACCGTCTTGCATAGCTGTAACATCTGTGTATAAATGTTGTTTATGCCACTAGAAAATTACCATTTACTGTGATGTGTAGTGATTGTCAGCGAGGGCTGCTGTTGTAAACAGTAACTTTACTATGGCACAGGCACATTATAGTGAGCTCCATCGTAGATGGACTGAAGATTGTACCTGGAGTAATACATACTGACTTAAAATCTGGCAAAACATTTTTCTTTCACAGATTTCCTTGGTGGATGAATTGAAAACCTGGTGCATGTTAAAGATTCAGAATCTGGAGATGAAGCTTTCTGGAGATTCTAGATCTTCAAGACCAAAATCAACTCTGTCCACTTGTGAGTCCCTCACCGAGACCCTGGCTACAGAGAACCTCCATAGTGCCAAGGACTGTAAAACCAACCAGAGCCCACTACAGTCAGAGGACTCACAGCAGCATTCCTATATCACACTTCAAAATAGTCTCTCAGAAGACATGGGAAGGAGTGGAGTCCAGACATCAGAACAAAGCTTTGGAACACATTATTTTGCTGTTGAACAAGACACTGTATCAGGTATAATCTTGTTAGACATTTAGCTGTAGTTTTCAAAGGCATGTGCTGATTCACAAGGGAATAAAAATGCCAAGATTACTTAACTTCAGTGGTATGCTTTCCTTCCAGTCATCAATACCTCTCTTCCCCCATCTCCACATATTCTGGTTAAAACATGTTGCCTCCTTCAAGGCAACCACTAAAGTTTCAGGGCTTAGTTGGCAGGAATTTACCTTATTATATTTTTCTTGGCAAATCCTCAGCTGGTGAAAATAGATGTAGTTTCTACCACTTTCAGGGACAGTGGAGGGCTGGGTTTTCTCCCAACCCAGGGTCTTCCATGTAAGAGTGCACTAAACTGTCAAGTTTCCATTGAAGCGGCTATATTATATTTGTTTTATTGGTGCATGGACCGTATCCCCATATGTATAAACTATTCTTTTATGGTTTATCTATCCTAACTCCACACACCCTTTTTGTTCATTCTTCCTTTTTTCTCCCTTGATGATCACCATAGGAGTACATTCCATTCTTGAACATATGGTTTTCTGATTCTAATATTACTGAATGAACAGCTTGCTAAGTGTAGTTCTTCTAGCACACACTAACCTAAAGACCAAAAGCCTGATCTCTGTGATGTCTGATCTTGCTGGCCTACAGAAAAGGCATCCTGTGATCATGCCTCAATTTACGTTCTCGGGCAAGTAGGCTGCATTTTCTTTGAACAAATGTGTGTAAGTCAAGTCACTAGCCTGTGAATTTATCAATAGGAAGAAGTGATATATGTAGGGCTGTCAAGCGATTAAAAAAATTAATTGCACTGTTAACACTAGAACACCATTTATTTTAATTATTTTTGGATGTTTACTACATTTTCAAATTATTAATTTAAATTACAACAGAATACAAAGTGTACAGGGCTCACTTTATTTTTTTTATTACAAATATTTGCACTGTAAACAAAAAAAAATTCAATTCTACCTCATACAAGTACTGTAGTGCAATCTCTTTATCATGAAAGTTGAACTTACAACTGTAGAATTATGTACAAAAAAACTGCATATAAAAATGTAAAACTTTAGAGCCTACCAGTCCACTCAGTCCTACTTCTTGGTCAGCCAGTCACTCAGACAAACAAGGTTGGTTACAATTTGCAGGAGATGATGGGTTCTGCTTGATAATGATCCAAAGCAGTGTGGACTGACATGTTCATTTTCATCATGAGTCAGATGCCACCAGTAGAAGGTTGATTTTCTTTAACGTGGAAACTACAGAACCCAAACCATCATAAGAGTGTTGCTCTTTTAAGATTTCTAAAAGCATGCTCCACACCTCATAACCCACAGTTGAAGAATCTGAGAGGAGAGTGCTGTAGCTATTTTTAGAAATCTCACATCAGTATCTTCTTTGTGTTTTGTCAAATCTGCTGCGAAAGTGTTTTTAAAAAACATGTGCTCGGTCATCAGCCGAGACTGCTAGAACATGAAATACATGCAGAATGTGGGTAAAACAGAGCAGCAGACATACAATTCTCCCCTTAAGGAGTACAGTCACAAATTTAATTGACGCCTTTTTTTTTTAATGAGCATCATCAGCATGGAAACATGTACTCTGGAATGGTGCCGGAAGCATGAAGGGGTATAGGAATGTTTAGCATATCTGGCAAGTAAATACCTTGCAACGCCAGCTACAAAAGTGCCCTGTGAACACCTGTTCTCACTTTCAGGTGACATTGTAAATAAGAACCAGGCAGTGTAAAGAAACTTCTTTGTCTTAGCAATTGGCAGAATAAGTAGTAGGACTGAGTGGACTTGTAGACTCTAAAGTTTTACACTGTTTTGTTTTTGAGTGCAGTTATGTAACCAAAAAAAATCTGCATTTGTAAGTTACACTTTCACGATAAAGAGATTGCACTTCTGTACTTTTATGAGGAACTGAAAAATACTGTTTCTTTTGTTTATATTTTTGATTACAAATATAGGCACTGTAAAAATGATAAAGTGAGCACTGTGCACTTTGTATTGTGTTGTAATTGAAATCAATATTGAAAATGTAGAAAAACATTCAAAATATTTAATATATTTCAAGTGGTAGTCTATTGTTATAAGTGTGATTATTCGCGATTAATTGACAGCCCTAGATATAAGACAATATATTATAAATGTCTACAAAATGTATAGCATGGTATATAGGAAACCTTGGCCTTCCCAATTCTCAGAACGGGAGATTCTCTTAATATTTGCATAAATGTCTGCTCAGAACTCTCATTCTTTTTTTAATTTATAGGTGCAGAGCAACAAATGATATCTGCTTGTCCAGCTCCTTCTGCAGTCCCTCAAGTTGTTAGGCCTAAAGACAAAGCTTTTAGCTCCAGTGCTTTTGACAGGTTCCAACAGGAAGTGCCATTGTCAGAGCATTCAGGTTCCAAATTAAGACATGTTAAGGTACAAACTGCTTTGCAGCCCTTGACTGAATTTGCAAAGACTGAGCAACAGAGTGGCTACTTCATAGACAAAGGAACTCAAACAAAGAAGTCTGGCAAAAGTGGGCAGTCAAGACACAGGCCCCAGCAACACACAGTAACACATACCCAGCCACAGCAACCATCCGCTCTGCCTGGAGATCAACCAGCCCCTCAGATCAAAGACACTTCACAAGCTCTGGAGATTACTCAGTACTTTTTTGAGGCTGTTTCCACTCAAATGGAAAAGTGGTATGAGCGGAAGATTGACGAAGCCCAGTGCCAAGCTAATCAAAAAGCACAGCAAGACAAAGCTGCACTCAAGGAGCATATTAAAAGTTTAGAAGAGGAGCTCAATAAATTAAGGACTAAGGTGCAAAAAGAAAGCTAGCATCAAGAAAACAGGTGCAGGCATGGAAACTGAGGAATTGTTTTTTATATGAACTGCAGTGTGGCTGATTTTGAGATCTATTAGTATGTAGAGTATTGAACCCAATACATACAAATATAAGAACTGCCCCTTTTAATGAGATGTAATTTTAGAAATTAGAAGTTCCAGAAATACCGGGAGTAAATATCCAAAAAGACTGTTTATGTAGTCATAAAACAGTAAGTCTCTGCACATGGGACACACTCATGATACTATGAGCCCATAAAATTTTACAGTCAGAGATAAGAATTACCAGGTACTTCATCACCAGGTACCAATAACCCAAATCACATTCTAAAGAGAAGAAAGAAAAGGAGTACTTGTAGCACCTTAGAGACTAACCAATTTATTTGAGCATGAGCTTTCGTGAGCTACAGCTCACTTCATCAGATGTATACCGTGGAAACTGCAGCAGACTTTATATACACACAGAGATCATGAAACAATACCTCCTCCCACCCCACTGTCCTGCTGGTAATAGCTTATCTAAAGTGATCATCAGAGAAAAGGAGTACTTGTAGCACCACCTGATGATCACTTTAGATAAGCTATTACCAGCAGGACAGTGGGGTGGGAGGAGGTATTGTTTCATGATCTCTGTGTGTATATAAAGTCTGCTGCAGTTTCCACGGTATACATCTGATGAAGTGAGCTGTAGCTCACGAAAGCTCATGCTCAAATAAATTGGTTAGTCTCTAAGGTGCTACAAGTACTCCTTTTCTTTTTGCGAATACAGACTAACACGGCTGTTCCTCTGAAACCTGTCATTCTAAAGAGAGAGTTTTCCCATTTCCTTGTAGGTCACAAAATACACCTAATGGAAATGGTTTTGTTAGAAATAAGTTTTGTTTACAGAAGCTTCCCACTGATACTTTCCTCTGCCTTGGGTTTGCGTTGTTCAAGCATACTGTAACTTTGACTTCTCCTTAATTATTGTTTGAATAATTATTACAGGTTACATGATTAGTGACGGTATCTATTCAAGTAACCTTATTGAAAAGTTGTAATTTCTTATATCAGATGAATGGCAAATATTTTACCAAGTCCTCACTATGTTTTATGAGCAGCAGTACGTTCATAGGCAAGACTCTTCCTCTGAGATGCCTAAATTCCAATTTTCTATAGGAGCATGAAACACACAGACCCAGTGTGAATTCCTGGCTCCACTAAAGTAAATGGCAAAACTCCCATTATCTTCAGTAAGGCCAAAATTTCACTCCAAATGACTTGCCTAGCACCTCTTAAGTAACCCCCTCTTTCTTTTGTTTTCCCACATCCATTTCCCTTTAAGTGAAAAAAAGAAGAATTAGGGACCCTATATGTCCATTGTTTTCTAAAGGAAAATCCATTCCAGACCACCAAGCTTAATAATTAGACAACTGCAAACTGACTAGCAGAACACCAAGGCTGACTGTACTGAACAGAAAATTCTGATAGCAGTTTGGCCACATTGTTTGCCATAAATGAAAATGTTCAACTTTGATGGACAGAAAATTCCCCTTTGTGAACTGCTATTGAGAATCTTTGAGCTTATTATTTATCGTTTATATTGCAGTAGTGTCTAAAAGCCTCAACCGTGTTGGGCCCCAATTCTGCTCAGTAATGTACAAACATAAGTTACCATAGATAGTTGCAGCTCTATCCATCTAGGGCTTTGTGCTTTAATCTAGTAGGAGACTCCATAAGATACTGACAATAGAGACAAGGTTATTTAACAGAGATCACGATAGCCCAGGAACAGCTATCCTAAATCATTCCACTTAAAAAAAAACTGCAATATTATGCCAAGGAAAAAAAAACCAAACAAGCAATCTCTTGACACTGGAAATCCAGATGAACAAAACGTACTTTACAGTATTGTAAACATTAACTCTTTAGAAATCGAGCTCATATCTTTTTAGTACATGTATAAAGCAAAGAAAATTGTATTATATTACAGTATTTTTAATTCTTATTAATGCACTATTAAGACAAGTACAGTATATCTGTAGTAATGGAGATATTTGTTAATGCTAATGCTTTGACTTCAGTAGTCAAAAATAAAGAATTAGACATTTTCATATGTTTACAACTTTTTTAAGTCAATTGTTTAAGCTACTGTAGGAATGCAGAGGCATGTTATCTATTTAATTTTTGTATCATCTTGATAAAAAGTGAATGTTTTTGCCTAGTAATTAAACATAAATGTTGCTCAGAAAGCTATTTTTCATGTGTTTTCTAGCTTTACAGAGTTGATCACATTGAAAACTGCAGATACAGAGTGGGAAATGAGAAGCAGTAATAATAAATTCAAAGGAACCAGGGCTGTCAAGCAATTAAAAAAATGAATCGCAATTAATTGCACTGTTAATAATAGAATACCATTTATTTAATATTTTTGGATGTTTTCTACATTTTCAAATATATTGATTTCAATTACAACACAGAATACAAAGTGTACAGTGCTCACTTCATATTTATTTTTGATTACAAGTATTTGCACTGTAAAAATAGTATTTTTCAATTCACCTAAGTACTGTAGTGCAGACTCTATCATGAAAGTTGAACTTTCAAATGTAGAGTTACGTACAAAAAAAATGCATTCAAAAATAAAAATGTAAAATTTTAGAGCCTGCAAGTCCACTCAGTCCTACTTCTTGTTCAGCCAATTGCTCAGACACAGAAGATTGTTTACATTTGCAGGAGCTAATGCTGTCCCTTCTTGTTTACAATGTCAGCTGAAACTGAGAACAGATATTCGCATGGCACTGTTGTAGCCAGCATCGCAAGATATTTACATGCCAGATGCACTAAAGATTCATATGTCCCTTCATGCTTCAACCACCGTTCCAGCGGGCATGCGTCCATGTTGATGATGGGTTCTGCTCACTAGCAATCCAAAGCAGTGCAGACCAACGCATGTTGATTTTCATTATCTGAGTCAGATGCCACCAGCAGAAGGTGGATTCTCTTTTTTTGGTGGTGCGGGTTCTGTAGTTTCTGCATCAAAGTGTTGCTCTTTTAAGACTTCTGAAAGCATGCTCCATACCTCATCCCTTGCAGATTTTGGAAGGCACTTCAGATTCTTAAACCTTGGGTTGAGTGCTGTAGCTATCTTTAGAAATCTCACATTTGTACCTTCTTTGCGTTTTGTCAAATCTGCAGTGAAAGTGTTCTTAAAATGAGCAACATGTGCTGGGTCATCATCCGAGACTGCTATAACATGAAATATATATGCAGGTAAAACAGAGCAGGAGACATACAATTCTCCCCCTAAGGAGTACAGTTACAAATTTAATTAATGCATTTTTTTTTTTAACAAGCATCATCAGCATGTCCTCTGGAATGATGGCCGAAGCATGAAGGGGCATAGAATGTTTAGTATATCTGGCATGTAAATACCTTGCAATGCTGGCTACAAAAGTGCCATGCAAATGCCTGTTCTCACTTTCTGGTGGGCAGAAGACGAGGGCAGCATTATCTTCTGTAAATGTAAACTAACTTGTTTGTCTTAGCAATTGGCTGAACAAGAAGTAGGACTGAGTGGATTGTAGGCTCTAAAGTTTTACACTGTTTTGGTTTTGAGTGCAGTTATGTAACAAAAAAAATCTACATTTGCAAGTTGCACTTTAATGACAAAGATTGCACTACAGTACTTGTATGAGGTGAACTGAAAAATACTATTTCTTGTTTATCATTTTTACAGTGCAAATATTTGTAATAAAAATATACACTTTGATTTCAATTACAACATGGAATACAATATAGATGAAAAATGTAGAAAAACATCCAAAATATTTAATAAATTACAATTGGTATTCTATTGTTTGACAGTGCGATTAAAGCTGCAATTAATTGCAATTAATTTTTTTTAACTGCGATTAATTGACAGCCCTAGTGGGAACTAAGCCCCTGAATTCTAATCCCAGTTTTCCCATTAATTTACTATCTATAAAATGCAGATAATACTTAGGTACAAAAATTATCTTACAGAGGTTCTATAAGGATTAACTAATTTAGTGACAGGTATTATTCATTCAACACAACGTTTACCATGGGACACAGGGAAAGGGAGCCTTTTCTGGCATTCTCCCCTACCCCACACTCTACACATTAGGCAAAATTGAAGTGATTCTTGGCTACTACCCACATAATCCACCCTGCCCTTTTACATACACAACCAAAATTAATCCCATTATTCCATGAGAGTTTCTAATTCCTGCATGGACTCCTGCAGCAGATCTCATAACCCCTAAAAGGCTTCTGGCAGAGAGACTCACATGGACTCTGATGGAGTCCGCACATTGTGCTCCTACAGACTTATGGAACCAACTGGGTTAGTTGCTTCATGGGACATTCTCAGTCAAGGACTGTACCCTGGTTGGAAGTCTTATATTGCCCAAAGTGGGTAAGGAGTGACAAAGTTCATTTTGACCTGTACAATTTGTTATATAAAATTGCTTATAAAAACTAAGCACAAGCTGAGTTAACGAAATTTACAATCTGAATGTTTGAACTAAAAACTGTGATTACACAGTTTCAAGACTCTGGTAAAATCACAATTGCTAGAATACAAGTGAAAGGAAATGCCCATTAGGATTGCTAGATGTTGGTTTTGATTAAGGGGGTCATCTCTTTCTGTACTATGTTTTTCTGGGGGCAGCTGGCAGCTTGTTGAAGGGAGAGAGGAGGAGAAAGGCCTTACTGTGAGTCAGAGCTTCACTAATCATGGTTGTCACCGCTCTCACCACCTGTTGGGACCTCGACATCATTTTCCTGCATCTGAATGATGTCCTAATCTGATCAGACAAGTAGAAGGAGCCAGATGACATCACCTTTAGAGGGTCAGCTAAATCCTGAGCAACAGCTGGGATATGAACCTGATGTTCCTAATATTACTCCCTACCTATGTGTCAGTGCCTCCTTATTTCTTCTTCCTCTTTTGCCTTCTAAGAGACCAGCTTAGCCCGCGAGGAGTAATCTACCCTTGCAATATTGCTGTAAGCCTGTGACCAAAGAGGCAAGCTAAAAACAAGATTGATCGAGACTGCTAAGTACTAGAATAGCTAATAAGTTTGTGTGCTTTGCCAGTGATTGTTTCTAGCAGCTAAAGTGCAAGCAAGGAACAAACTGAAGCTGCAATTTAGAAAAGATCCATGAAGCTTATATCTCCCACTGGGTGTGTTTATTTTAAAAGTATGTTGGTTGAACTTCACCCACTAACCCTCAGAAGTTGCCAGCTAAATCTGACTTTTCCAGCAAAGACTTCTACTATAACCTTAAGACTACCAAGCAAAGTTTCTCTCTAGATAGAAAAAGGGAAGTTTTCAAAACAAAGTTTCAAATGTTTTAACTGTTTTTTGTGAATTTGTTAAAAGGTTTGTGTTACTGTGGGAGTAGGCCAGCATAAGTTTATATAAAGCACAATTAATTTAATGTTACAATAAAAGGGTTCTAGTACATTTTAAATCCTGAGCTCAACACTGTAAAAGGGACAGAGTGTTAATGACAAGCTCAACTAGTTGGCAGAAATTAAAGAGACACCAACTTGAAAAAAAAAAATCACACTTTCTTATCCCTTAAGGTTACTATAATTGAAGACAAGTTAAAATGAAGAAAAAAAATCTTATCTTACTCAAGTTCACTAGTGTGTTGAGAGTGCAAGTTATTTTTTGTATTGTGGTAGCTCCTAGAAGCCCCACAGCCTCAACAAGGATGGTCCCAGCCCCAAAGAGCCTACAGTGTTATGTACAATATAAAAACATTAGGTGATACAGACAGAAAAAGACAAGGAAACAATTAGACAATACTGGTCAGCATGATCTGCAAGAAACTGTAACCCTGCAGCAGTGTGCAGATAGAGATAGAGAAAGGGGAGTGGGAGGGGTGGGAAGACTTGGCCTTTGATGGTGATATACTCAGGCTCTGCTCAAAAAGGCCCTTCTAATCATCAAGGAAGCAGATTGTTTTTTAAAGCACTGAAGAAAAGAAATCAGGACATACTAATAAAGAGCCTACTACCAGAATATTGATTTTCCTTTGAATTCCATTTTTTTAAAATCATCTTGTCAGTGTCTGTTTAAAAAATCCACAGGAGCAACCTCTCTCAACACAAACCAGAGAGCTGTCTAATCCAGAGTCTCGTCTTCGGTAGTGGCCAGAACCAGATGCTTCAGAGAGAAGCTCAAGAAACCCCACAGACAACAATTTTGGAATATAGCCTAACTACAGGAGAAATTTCTTTCTAACAGCCCGTCAGTCAGTGGTTGGCTAACCAGCCTTGTGAAGTCTTTCAACCAAGACTGCAGGTATAGCTTTGAAGAAACTTGGTCTGCTGCTTGTTAGAGCTGAACCAAGACATACTAGCTGGCAGCTGTGTACATCTGTTGTTTGGATATATAGCTATTTACATTCAGAGAAACTCAACCTCCTTTACTTTTGAAATTGATATAAACAAAATATGTTGCCATTCATGTGGGGAATACAACATGAGGAAGGGCCACAACATTAATATACCTTTTCTGTTTGTTCTTCTTTATGTAAGAGATGAACACTTGTCAGTATAATCACAAGAGCTATTTCTTAATTTGGCAATAACCATATCCTAGGTTAAATTCTCTCACACTGTTAAGGTTTAATCAATCATGATTATGATTAAAGACACTACTTCAAACAAACAGGATCAAATTATCACCTACACATGGGGAATTTTCTTAGTATTTTGAACAAGTTTATTATGAAACAAACTTCAGGAGTTTGGGACTCTAGAGAAGACTCCCATAAGATTGTAACATTTAGAAGTACTAACGTAGGAAAAAACAAACAAAAATCTGGTTTGAATTTCTTTTTTTTCTTTGGCAATGCTGCTCTTCTCTCAGCAGGTATTATGCCACACTTTCGATTATTTGAACAAATATGGCGTAAGTAATTTGTCTATGCCAAATATTCAGGTAACAGACTCAAAAAGAGAAAGGAAATAATGGAATTGTACTGTATTCCACCTTGAAACATTACCGGTATCTTTGCATAAGATGAGGTGCTGCATCCTGGAGAAAGTACTGTACTTCTCACAGTGGATGAAAGTCCATTGGCTCTCAGAATTAAGGTTAGGAGTTTGCCAGCTGAAGTGTTCTCTCAAGCTCCTGAAGCTGCATGTTGCCCTGAGTAATCATCATCCTAATTGCATCCTGTAAAGTGAAATGGAATCTGTTGGGCTGAACACGTATAACACACTAGAGTACACAGATTTTTGCCAGAGTTGCTGCATTTTTCACTCAATTTCTTTGCCTGAGTCAACGGCACACAATAAAGCATTCAGCCTCTAAAACAATGAAGACAATATGTTCAATATGATAGGTGAAGCAACTGTCTCTCACCAACAGAAGTTGGTCCAATAAAAGACATTACCTCACTCACCTTGTCTCTCTAACATACTGGGACCGACACGGCTACAACACTGCGTATATTAATTTGCCATTCATTTTTCCTTAAGTTCTTAATAGTGCCATTGGGGGTTATTCCTGTGGCTTAAAAGTAAGTGGAAAAGTTTCTTTGATTCAAAAATCTAACTACATTAGTATTTTCTTTATACATCCATGTCCTTTCCAATGTTTCTGTGAATAAATGGTAAGAACCACAGATGTGCATTGTAGAGAGGGATTTTTAAGAGATAAATGGTGTGGACATTCTTCTGAAATTCTTTAGTCTGCATAATTCCAGCCAGTAATTCTTTACTACTGACTAGGAAAGGTGCACAACTGGCAAGACGGGGTGTAGAAATGTTTGAGAAAAGGTGAAGTTTTCCCCACCCATTGCTGCTTCCTATACAGATATCAAGTCAAGTCTGTTTTGTTCAGCCAAAATTAATAAATACTAATTTAAACATAACCCCAACAAATATCATAAAAGGCAGGTCCAGCATTAGTAAACTTAAACTTGCTCTCCACTATTCAATACAAAAGTTGTAAAATTAAAAGTTTTGTCTGATTCTTATTTCAAGCAAGCAGTTTTTGTTTTGTTTATTTAAGAAATCAGAAAAAAATAATCAGAAAAACTTTATTTACAAGCAAGAAAGAAAAGGAGAGATAGTGTTGATAGTTTTCATAGATTCCAAGGCCAGAAAGGGACCATTGTGATCATCTAGTCCAACCTCCTGTACAACACAGGCCATAAAACTTCCCCAAAATAATTCCTAGAGCATATATTTTAGAAAAAATATCCAATCTTGATTTAAAAATTGTTGGTGATGGGAGAATCCACTCTGAGCCTTCTTAAATTATTCCAATAGCTAATTACCCTCACTGTCAAAAATTTACGCTTCAGTTCCAGTCTGAATTTGTCTAGCTTGAACTTTCAGCCATTGGATTGTGTTATACCTTTCTTTGCTAGGTTAAAGAGCCCATTATTAAATATTTGTTTCCTGTGTATATACTAACAGACTAATCAAGTCACCCCTAACAAAGTTGCATGAGAGGAAAGTGATCAGGAACAGCCAGCATGGATTCACCAAGGGAAGGTCATGCCTGACTAATCTAATCGCCTTTTATGATGAGATTACTGGTTCTGTGGATGAAGGGAAAGCAGTGGATGTATTGTTTCTTGACTTTAGCAAAGCTTTTGACACGGTCTCCCACAGTATTCTTGTCAGCAAGTTAAGGAAGTATGGGCTGGATGAATGCACTATAAGGTGGGTAGAAAGCTGGCTAGATTGTCGGGCTCAACGGGTAGTGATCAATGGCTCCATGTCTAGTTGGCAGCCGGTATCAAGTGGAATGCCCCAAGGGTCGGTCCCGGGGCCGGTTTTGTTCAATATCTTCATAAATGATCTGGAGGATGGTGTGGATTACACTCTCAGCAAATTTGCGGATGATACTAAACTGGGAGGAGTGGTAGATACGCTGGAGGGGAGGGATAGGATACAGAAGGACCTAGACAAATTGGAGGATTGGGTCAAAAGAAATCTGATGAGGTTCAATAAGGATAAGTGCAGGGTCCTACACTTAGGATGGAAGAATCCAATGCACCGCTACAGACTAGGGACCGAATGGCTAGGCAGCAGTTCTGCGGAAAAGGACCTAGGGGTGACAGTGGACGAGAAGCTGGATATGAGTCAGCAGTGTGCCCTTGTTGCCAAGAAGGCCAATGGCATTTTGGGATGTATAAGTAGGGGCATAGCGAGCAGATCGAGGGACATGATCGTTCCCCTCTATTCGACATTGGTGAGGCCTCATCTGGAGTACTGTGTCCAGTTTTGGGCCCCACACTACAAGAAGGATGTGGATAAATTGGAGAGTCCAGCGAAGGGCAACAAAAATGATTAGGGGTCTAGCACACATGACTTATGAGGAGAGGCTGAGGGAGCTGGGATTGTTTAGCCTGCAGAAGAGAAGAATGAGGGGGGGATTTGATAGCTGCTTTCAACTACCTGAAAGGGGGTTCCAAAGAGGATGGCTCTAGACTGTTCTCAATGGTAGCAGATGACAGAACGAGGAGTAATGGTCTCAAGTTGCAGTGGGGGAGGTTTAGATTGGATATTAGGAAAAACTTTTTCACTAAGAGGGTGGTGAAACACTGGAATGCGTTACCTAGGGAGGTGGTAGAATCTCCTTCCTTAGAAGTTTTTAAGGTCAGGCTTGACAAAGCCCTGGCTGGGATGATTTAACTGGGAATTGGTCCTGCTTCGAGCAGGGGGTTGGACTAGATGACCTTCTGGGGTCCCTTCCAACCCTGATATTCTATGATTCTATGATATAAAAGACATTGCTATGAGGCTTCTGCCTCCGATTGCTCACCTCATCTGTTGCATCTTTATTTCTTTTGAATTCTTCCCTTGCCCACTCCTTTAGATAGTGCCGATCAGTTTCGGTAGGTACCTGACGAATAGCCTGGAGAATTCTTCTGTATAACTGAAGAACCTGCTGCCGTCTCAAGAACTGCAAAGAAGAGGGGAACTGCCAGTTATGTTTGCTACTCCAGTGGTTTCCAGTCAGTTATATTATCAAAGAAAGGTTTTTTTAAAACCTTTGTAGAGATTTAAGCCAAATACCACCTGGAAATTAAATGAACCAAGAGAAAGTACCTGCTATGCAAGTTTAGTCTATAATAAGCTTAAAATTGAGAAGAAAAACAGAGTAAATTTTAAATTTGAATGATCTAATCTGAGCTGGGCTATTGGAATAGAGCAGGGGTTCTCAAACTTCATTGCACCGGGACCCCTGACAACAAAAATTACTACACGAGCCCAGGAGGAGGTACTGAAGCCTGAGTCCACCCAAGCCCCACCACCCTGGGCAGGAGGGCCAAAGCTGAAACCCCAGGGCATGTAACCTGAGCCCTGCCGCACAGGGCTAAAGCCCTGGGACTTTGGTCCCGAGCGATGGGGCTCAGGCTTCAGCTCTGGGCCCCAGCAAGTGTAAGTCACCCTGGGGACCCCATTAAAATGGGGTCCTGACTTACAGTTTGAGAACTGCTGGAATAGAAGGAAATCTATAAAAAGGACTAGAAACTCCCATGATTAGCTACTGTATATTGCAAAGTGCTTAGTCATAGACCAGGGCCCCACTGAGCCTCTATAAACACAACAGAAAGATGGTCCCTGCCCCACACATCTTACGATCTACAGCCTGGTCTACATATAGCTTTTGCACCAATATAATTATTTCAGTTAGAGATGTGATTTTTTTTTTACTGACATCACTATATTTAGGCTTGGGAGGATCAGATGTGTATTGGTAAATGTAAATTTCACTATACATGCACAAATAAATAAATATTTCCACTGATAATCAAAATGTATGGATAGGCAAAGTAAGAAAAATACTGCTTGAGAACTTATCAGAAGTTGATTTAAAGTTATTTACTTTGTATATTTTGACAATTGAGGTTTTAAAGATTATAAAGCATTAACTTTTTGAATATCAATGTCTCCTGTCTTTAAATAATCATTGTCTGAACCCCTCATAATTCCCCACAACTGTGAAAATTGAAATAGCCTAAAATTTATAAAAAATGCGTAAAAATAAACATTGATGTTATCAATCAAAATTATTTAAAAAAAAATCAAATTCTACCAAGCCTAGTTATACTTTTATACTGGTAAAACTTCATCCACACTAGGGTTGTACCAGTATATTACACTGGTACATCTTATTCCCCATCACATGTGGAATAGGTATACCAGTATAAGCACCTTTATATCAGTACTACAGTGTCCACTCTTACTTAGGGGGGGTTATACTACTTTAACTATACTAGTATAACATTTGCACAGACAAGCTCTAAATATCAGAGTTGTTAGCATAGAAATTATAGCTGTATTGGAGAAGGAAAGGGAGCTCTGTGGAACCCACACAGAAAATTGGGAGGGGGGGATTAGAAGGATTCTTCAAACAACATGCTGAAGGAGCAATTAGAGAGATGAAAGAATCAGGAAAGGACTCAGTCATGAAAGCCAAGCCAGGTCAGATTACCAGAGGAAGAGCACAGCTGACCATGTCAAAAACCGTTGTGAGGTGGAGGAGGGGATGCAGCACTGTTTCTGAGCTTTGGCCACGGAGGGGGGCATCAGAGATTTGGCCAATGTCTATACGTACAGAGAGCTCTCCCGTCAGTATAATAAAAGCACCTCCACAAGAGGCAGAAGCTATGCTGGCGGTACATGCTCTCCTGCCGACATAACGCTGTGCACAGGAGTGCTTATGTTGATGTAATGTTTATGTTGATGTTGATGTTGCTTGGGGGTGGCTTTTTGACACCTCTGAGCAACATAAATTTTGCCGACACAGGCTTAGGGTGGAGACAAGCCTTTGGCAAGAACTGTTTCAGGGCAGGGCAGCAGGCTCGGCAGGGGTTTAGGAGGGAAACGGAGGGGAGGCTACTGACGTCCAGCTGGAGTTGTGGGTGCTTAGCCCGACTGAAAATTGGTCCAAGCCACTCACCCAAAGTCCCCCCGCAAGCGGCTGAACAGAGTCTCTGGCGCTGCCAGCTGCCCCCCCGCTCCGGTTCTGAAAAACGCCGGGGCTTGTGCCAGTCACCCGGCCGCGCCCAGGTGGCAGGTAACAGGGGCAGCCTCTGAGCCCAGCCCCCCGAGCGGGGACCCCTGCACCCTGTAACCCGGCAGCGGCCCCGGGTCAGGCCGGCCGCTGGCTGCGCCCGGGCCCCTAACAGCAGGGGCTGAAGCCCCCCCGCTGCGGCAGCAGCGACTCCCTCAGCCGCCACCGCGACCCCCCAGCTGGGCGGCCCTGAGGAAGGAGGGGCTCTGGCCGGCGGCGAGACGGGACCCCCCGGGCCGCTACCTGCTTCAGTGTCAGCGCCGCCGGAGGCAGCCGGGACGCGGCCATGACACCGACCAGGCCCTGCGTGCGCGCCGCAGCCCCGCCTCCGCCTCCTCCTCCTCCGCCGCCCGCCCTCGCGGGGCCCCTGGTCCCCTTCCTGCTCGCGGGGAGCGGCGGGTCCCGCTGCTCAGGCAGGGGTGGACACCCCCGAGGGCGTGAGGCTCAGCCAGGGGCGGGGAAGGGATTTTAAGGCCTGGCCGCGGCGTGGGCGGGAAACCTGCGGGTTCCGGGCCGCCCAGGGCCGTGCCCCGCCCCGGGCCGCAGAGCCGGTGCCAGCTCCTGTGGGCGCCCCCGAGGGAGGAGCCGCACAGCGCCCCCCGGCGTCCGCCTGCCCCAGCGCTGCAGCTGCGTGTTTGTGCCAGCGGGACCCAAGCCCGCCCCGCGTGGGCAGCCGGCGAGCTGGGAGGGGGTCTGAGAGGCTGGGACTGTGAACGCCTGGGGGGAGGCCTCCTTTCCCTGGACGATGGGATTAGGGAGGTAAATAACCCAGCAGGCTGCAAACAGGATAGCTCAGTGGTTTGAGCATTGGCCTGCGGAACCCAGGGCTGCGAGCTCAATCCTTGAGGGGGCCGTTTAGGGAACTGGGGCAAAAAATGGGGATTAGTCCTGCTTTAAGCAGGGGCTTAGACTAGGTGACTTCCTGAGGTCCCTTCCAACCCTGATATTGTAAAATCAGTAAAGGCAGTACATTAGAAAGACAATGCCTGAGCTAGCTAAGATAAAAGGGCACTATTATTAGGAATGTAAAGATGAGGCTGAGTACAGCAAGTGAGCACAGAGCTTGCTGCACAGGAGGGGTTGGTTCCTGCAAATTAACCAAGCCCATCTAAAAATGGGTGAGGCAATGTATAGTAAATGTAATGAGATGTGTAATGTCTATAAAGGGAGAGAGTTGTCATGTACTTTTGGAGCTGTAATATACTTTGCATGCGTCTAGGGTGACCAGATGTCCTGATTTTATAGGGACAGTCCCGATTTTTCACATTTGCTGTTTGGTCACCCTACATCGGTCCCACCTGCATTTGAGTCTAATCAACTCAGTATAGCACTGCTGTATACTAAATAAAGATATCTCAGTGACAAAGGCTGGAGTCTAACTACGTTCTTGGGAAGCATCATAGAAACTGATCCCAGAGGGAATCCCAAGGACTTTCCTCCCCAGCAGTCCTGAGGCTGTTTTAAATTATGCCTGGCTATACTCTTGGGGTTGAGGATAATCAGACATCTGGGAATTGCAGGAATACAGCAAAACTCCAGCCACACACTTTTCCCCCTTAACCACACCATCACAGCCCTATTAAAGAGCCCCCAACTGGATGCACACAAGGCTGATGCATTTAAGTCCCATAACACTGTTAAGTTCTCCTTGGTGTAAAGAGGCTCTAGGATCAAGCAGTATCTCTTTGGCCTCTTTAGCACACTTTGTGGGCACAGATTCTGTTACCCCTTGAGAGTTGGGACCTGCAATCCAGCTGGCCACAGTCCCCAAGCTAAATGTGGACCCTCCCCCCCTCCAAAGACCTCTCTAAAAATCCCAGTAGCTTAAGCACCTTCCCAGAGCGCCAACCCTGCAGGCATTCTCTGGTTTAGTTTACTTCTTCAGGGACAGGTGAGATTTCAAGCACATAACATGCAGGCTTAGTAAAGATTTCTGACCCAAACCACCATAGGACAAGAGACATACACATCTAGACAAAACAATTAAATGCCTATGTGCTTTTCCCTGCCTCAGTTTCCTCACCACTCAAGGCAGTAGTTTGGGGGTTTGGTCAGAATCCTTTAGGGTGTGCAGGATCCCCTCTCCTGCACACAGCTGCTTCTCTGAATCATTGAGTGTCTTCTCTACAGCCAGCTTCTTTTGACATTGGCTGGGCCTGCAGTACAAAAAGGTCCTCTCTGCTACAAAAGCATGTCCCTTCATTTCTCTCCATCTCTGTGATTTTAGCACCTAGCACTGACTCCTACTTTCTCTGTTTCCCCCTTTCTGGAGAATTTTCACTGCTTCAAATCCTGTTCCCTTGCATAGAAGATGGAGAAAACTGGTTTCACCTAGGATGTGGCCCTCCCATTTGAATGGGAGCTTTATGATGACTCGCCAGTGTCTCTGGTCAGGTAGGGATGTGATACCAGCCCTGCTGGAATTAACTGAAATTATTAAAAATAGGAGACCATTAGACACTAATTTAACCATAAATTCTTTTATTAAGCCCAAAGGCTAAATGATATTTTAATCAATTGCCCTAAACATTCCTAAGCCTAAAAACACCCAATACAGTAATAAAGTATCCATAAGCATGTGATCAGTATACTTACATATAGGCCAGACTGAGTGAAAACTCTCATCCTGGCATAATCAAGTAGGATCTGATAACCTTCAGCTTCATGGCTCTCTTTATACCCTTCAGTTAAACTTGCTAGCTTTAGCAAAAGCCCAGTCTGAAAAAGTTTATCCTTGCTACTTTCCTTCCAACAAGGTCTTCCTTTCTTCTCTCTTCCCCACTCCTTGCTTACCAGCAGAACAGTGGGAAGGTTCATGTTTGTTTCTTTTAAGACACAGTTTGTCTTGTTACTAGAAAGAAAAGTAGTACTTGTGGCACCTTAAATTTATTTGAGGATATGCATCTGATGAAGTGAGCTGTAGCTCACGAAAGCTTATGCTCAAATAAACTGGTTCGTCTCTAAGGTGCCACAACTACTCCTTTTCTTTTTGCGAATACAGACTAACACGGCTGCTAGTCTGAAACCTGTCTTGTTACTGCAGCCTTTTATTTTTTTTGAACCATACATCCTTCCCACACAACAAGTAAAAATAATGCCACTAATTATTTTCACGACCTTCTTTTACCTGCTGATTGGGGTGTTACTAGCCACAAACCATAAAGCAAATACATTATTTTCTTAAACTTAATCTAACTTTAATTTCATAACTATTCCTACAGACCCTGATAACATGTGGCTGACTCCGTATCCCCTGAGGCATTTAGTGATACAATTTCATAAAATCAACCAGAATTTTCTAAGTTATAGTCAGATTCCCCAGATCATCACACCCTCCCAGCTATACCTGGTTGTGAAGAAGAGCCAGCACTTCAATATTCAGAGTTTCCACTGAGAATCCTGATGGGGCCAGTTAATATAGCTTGCCAGCAGATTTGCATTGGCCAAGTAGAACAAATCTGCCAGAATGTTTAGGAAGATGAGACCACCAATAAAAACTCACATATCTGGCAACCCCTTGCAGTACAGAACAAGTGAAACCTGTGAAGTTATGCAAGCTTGGAACCCATCTGATTTGAGGACTGTTTGTATAATTTTCTGAAAATGTAAAGCATTATATGTGCGCCAAGTACTATTCCTGTGGCATAGCTATTTTTGCTTCATCAAATGACAAAGAATGGACACCATAATTACAAACAGTGGTACATCTTTTTATTAGTACAGACAGTAAGATGCATAGCTTTTGCAATGAAAAAAATCATGTACAATCTTTAAGACACTTGACTAAATGCGTCTTTAATGTCTGCCTTGGACAGGGGGCAAACTTCACAGTGTAAAGTGATAATGCAAGGAAGATCATATCATGGCATGTTTCATAAAAATACCCTGAAGGCATTATCCAACAACCAGCGACAATTGTTAAATAGGATGTGTTTAACCACAAAACACAGTTTTAAGTATTCAAGTACTTATATTTTGGTTGTATAAACCCATCCTTCCCCACCCACATGTACCACCATGTGTTTAGCTAAAACAGTTCCAAGGCTGTTCAAGTTCTTCCAATACAAGAAGTTACTTCCTAGAAAAAAGACTACTTCCCCCTTCAATTACATGAACATTCCAAATAAAATTTAAAAATAATAAATTACAACAGTGGTGGTGGAAGGTTTGCATTGTTATAGGGATAGGCAAATAAGTGAGTACAGAGTCTTTCACCATTGCATAGTCTCCTGCACTAGCAAATGGGGGAGAGCACACCTAAAGCATTGCTTTTCTAGGCTGTCTGAATATCAGAAGGCAGTTCCTGCATGTAAATCCTGGATAGAGAGATCTCATCAAACCACTGATGAAATGCAGTCACACTTAAGTAATTTAGCAGCAATCAGATGTTTACTTGCTTTGTAAATTCTATAGACTCTCCGAGGCAGTCACCAGTTCAAACCACTGTCGCAGTGCATCACTGAGAGTCTCTGGGAGGGCATTCACATCTCTGAGGATTATGTAGAATGGGAATGGGAACTCTTCCATGTAGGATCTGATTTCAGGCATTTCTCCGGGGTCTTTGAATATAGGTACTTTAATGTCCAAGATGGAATCCTGTAAAAGAGTTGAAGGGATGACTGGACTGTAGGTACCATTTATCCAATTTTTCAAACACATTTCCCCAACATTGGACAATTAAAGGCAAAAATATTTTAAAATAAAACCCTAAATGCAACCCCCTCAGGGAAGTCAAATAGGGACAAGCATGACAAGCTGAAAATTAAAAAAAAAAAGTGCCTTTTTTCTCATATGCTTAGTCCTAAAACTGTACTGAGCAGAGAGTTACAGAATGAAATAGACTAAACTCCAAGCTTTTGTAATATTAAACAAACATATAAATAAATGCTAAGGAAAGACAAGAGACTAACATGACATGAACCTGCTATCACCTGGATCAATTTGCTTTTATGTTGTGTCATTCCCTGAGTATGCCCCTCCTTTGACTTTTAAGACTGTAAAGTTCTTTGGGTAGAAATTGTTTCTATTCACATTTGTACAATGGATAGCACAATGGGGCCCTGTTCCTGAGTTGGTGCTTTCGTAACAAATGTTAAATTACAAACTCAGATTAACCCTACCCCTGCTTCTTGTAAAGGAAAATAGAGCCTAGATTGCTCTGTGTAGCAGATCTAAAAGTTCCCATAGTGAGAAGCAAATTTTACCACCTCAAATTTAAGTTTGACATTAAAACCATGTTTAATCAGAACTTTGACAAACTACTATTAATCAGGAAAAGGTTTTAATAACAAATCAGGAAGGGTTTATTTAACTATCTTAGAGTTATCCTGTTGGCAACCTTTTCTTCCTACTTTCATCCTTAGAGCATTGCACTTGAGTTGATTCTTCCTCAATAAAGGTGCACTGCAGTAATGCTAAATATACTGAAATTCCGCTTTCTACTCCACTATGGAACCCTCCTGAAACCCTCCCACATCTCAGCTTCCAAACCCAGCACATGTCACACACCCAGCTACCAAACACTCTTTGCAAGTTGCCC